CCTCACTCAGCCTGCCCTCAAGGCAATGTGTGGACTTGGCTGGCGGACCACAGTGGGCCAGAGGACCGGTGGGGGCGGTCAAAATCCCGGTCGCGTTTCGAGCTCCAGAGTTGCTATAATGTGACTCGAACCGAACGTGTGACCCCACCAATAGATTGCTCTCCGGACGAGGAATCCATTGGTGGGGTCACAGGGTCGGTTCGAGTCCTGTTTAGCGACTCTGGAGCCCAAAACACGTCCACAGATTTGGCCGCCGGCGCCGGTCTTCTGGCCCACTGTGCGGAGGTTGGCAACCCTTTACCTGCTCCGCCGTCCGTGTTGTAGTACACGCTGATGCACTCCAGCTGCATGCCCTGCTCGGTGTCGATCTTCACGCCGTGCTGCGCGCCGGGCTGACGGCCCGGCGACTTTTCCTCCAGAGTCTCCCAGAACTGTCAGGGACGAACGGGGCTCGCATCAACTCCGAGCAATAACTCGCAGATGGGGGAACAGCTTCCCACATTCATTGTACAATTCAGGTGGCAAAAACGCCTGAAGTAGGCAACATGTGTGGCAGAAACGCCAGAAATCTTGCCCATTCTTGCACATTTACACTACACAAAATTTTACAGTGGGTTACCCCTTGCAGTTAACCGGATGCGGAACTTGCAGAGGGATTCCGGACATCACTGCCCTTGCTTTGCCTCTTGGGGCGTTCCGTGTAGGTGCGAGAGAGACAGAGTGACGTGCGCGATCCGTGTGGTCTTGCCTTGGCGCCGGCGGCGTTGTCGGCCACCCCACGCTCCTCCTGGACCGGCTGCTCGCCGCCCTGCTCGTCGCCGTCCTGGTCCTCCTCCTGGGGCTTCTTGGGCAGGTGCAGGATCTGCTCGCGCGGAGGCGAGGGCACGCACATGGCGACGAGCAAGGCACGCACCTCGTCAGGGCGTCAGTGCGCACCGCGCAGCGCCGCGCCAACGACAATCACACTGCGAGCAGGCCAGCCAACCCATTCGTCGGAACTGCCAACCTGCCGCACAGTGGGCCAGAAGACCAGCGGAGGCGGCCAAAACTCTATAGACGCGTTTTGAGCTCCAGAGTCACTAAATGGGACTCGAACTGAACGTTTGACCCCACCAATGGATTGCTCTCCAAACGCCTCACAGCGTCCCTGTTCCTTGGACGAGCTGCAGGTGTTTCCGTGACAAAAATCACACTTTTCCTTTGACAAAAATTATTTCTGGATCCTCCCTCCGCGGGGCCCACGGGGCCCAACACGCAATGGCGGATCTATCGATGACACACTGCCACCTGATGGTTATCTAAGAGTGCCGAGTCACGTTCGCGCATCGACTATCCTGCCGTCCGTTTCGCAGGTTCGATGGTATACCCCAAAATCCGAGGGGTGACCCACTGTAAAATTTTGTGGACAATGATTGTGTGAATGTGCAAGAATGTGCAAGATTTCTGGCGCTTTTGCCACGCATGTTGTCTACTCACAGGCGTTTTTTGCCACCTGAATGTGGAATGTGGTCGAGCAAAACTCCGACGGTCGATATCGATTTGACGATCCGTTTCCGACTAAGGCGATATGCTTTCTTGCTGTCGTTTGGATGGGCAGTCTAGGCAATTGAACTTTCGCCCTCGCTTTCTCCAAGTAAGACATTCATTGTGACATCGCGCCGAAGGACCCCAAGGCGTTTTCCAAACACTGCAATCGTTTTGTCGCGCTCACTTGCGCACACCGACACACTCCGCACGCGGTAGCAGCATCTGTCTCTCTCACTCTCGTCGGACAGATGGGTCGTGCGCAGTGCAGGCGGGGCGCGCGGGGCAGGCGCCGACTGCCTTGCGGTGCAGGCGCGGTGCAAGTGGCGGCCGGGGGACCTCCACGTCGTGCTGGAGCGCCGCGCTTTCGTCGTGCCGTCTCTCTCGCGCTCGGGTCCCGTTCCGCAGGAGTGCGAGAGAGACAGAGCGACTGCGCGGAATGAGCCTCTCGCACCCCTCGGCCAATCCTTTGCATGCTGATGAGCGGCATGATGACGATCATCATTCTGGTGGGGGCGGCCCGGCGGCCCGGCGGCCTGGCGGGCCTGCACTGTAGGACTCTACCCCGCGCCACCCCGGGCCCGGAGCCTGGTCCTGTCCTGGTCCAGGGCGACGTTGACGTTGATATCGGTGTGGCTGGATATTAAGGGGGTTGTTGCTGCTGTTGCTCACTTGGTGGGCGCGGCCGGCGTGTCATTAGGCACCCCTCCCCCTCCCCTTTCCCCTCCCCTCTCCCCTCCCCTCCCCCTCCCCTTTCCCCTTCCTCCCCCATCCCTATTGTCATTGAAATGAGACTGTTGTTGCTTCGCCCCGAAACGCATACCGCACCGCCACTGGCTCATTTCGTCGCTCTGTCTCTCTCGCGCCTCCACGGGCTGCCCCGTGAGTGCGAGAGAGACAGAGAAGGACTCTCCGAGGCAGCCTGAAGGACCTTCCCTCGCCCCGTCGTCGTCGCCCCGTTGTTGACCAGCAGGTTCCAAAAAAACTTTAAAAGTGTGTCACCGAAACGCCCTGGCTGCAAATCAGTGGAAAAAGAATACCCCAGCGACTCCTGCGCTGTCAATACTGCTTAGCCTATGGTGCGAGTCTGGTCTGTCTGTAAAAGGCAATCGTCTTGAGGGTCCTCTGGCATACTTTCTTCGCACTTCTTCAGCAGAAGATACTAACCACCATACCGCCCCTGCACAAATGCAACCTCTGGTTTCACCCCCCCCCCCTTAACTCTCTCTCCCTTTCTCTCTCCCTGTGTGTCTCTTTTGTCATCGCTGGCCGAGAAATAAATATGAAAGGGGGAGGGGCACGGCCCGCCACGCCCGCCACGCCCGCCACGCCACTGCAGACTGATTCCGAGAGTGTCTTTCGTCGCTCTGTCTCTCTCGCACCTATACGGAGCGCCCCATGAGTGCGAGAGAGACAGAGACACCCTCGGAATCGCACAAAGCGACCGGCCTCATAAAGCGCGACTCTATATACACGCCGCAGCTCATAATTGCATTCCCTAAAAAGAAGCAACTCGCGGCTCATCATTTATTATCTCTGTTGTGATATATAGGTGGGCAGCGGGCGGGACATCTGCTGTTGTGTCAACAGCGGGAAAAGCGCGAGACGCGAAGCGCGAAGCAGCGCGAAGGGTCCGCGGGACGCGCCGCGCGACCGCCGGAAAAGTTTTAGATTTATATTTGGTGACAAATGGGGGTGCAGTGTGGTGGCGCGGCCGGCGGGGTGTGAGGTGAATGTTGGCATCGGCTACTCGGAGTAACAGTGTAACAGTTCTCGTGCGAAAGTTGGCAGCGATTTCCAGCACTGCATCTGGCGGGGAAAGGAAGCCCAAGGCAGCCCACCCCCACCCAACTTGACCTGTCACCTCTATTTCCCGGCTTGATCCATCTCGGTGGCGTGGCGGGGCGGGGCGGGGCGGGGCGGGGCGTGGGGCCGAGGGAGGGGCCGGAGAGGGGCGAGTGAACGTATGTTGGCAGCAGCGAGTCTCCCAAGAGAATTGGAGAAGACCCCGCAGCCAGGCAGCCAGCCAGGCAGCCAGCCCGTCCCAGGCCTGGCAACATGATCAAAGGCAAAGGTGTCTGCTGCAAACTCCCTCGGCAGCGGACCTGGCCCCGCCCCGCCCTGCAACACGGACAGCGACCGGGCCGAGATAGCCATCGTCCTGACTGATTATTCTCACGGTGCACCAGCCCGGGCCGGCCGTCAGGCCGTGGCGGGCCATGGGCTCATCAGACAACTTTTTCCTCGTTGGGCCGTCACCCCCTGCCACCCCTGCCACCCCACCCCTTGCCCGGCCTGGCCCCGGCGACCGCATAATAGAGGAAACTAGGAGGAAACCAATCCAGCCTCCGGCCCCACGCGGCGCTCCCGTCCGGATAGAGAGAGAGCGAGAGAGACAGAGAGAGAGAGGGAGAGAGAGAGAGAGAGAGAGAGAGAGAGAGAGAGAGAGAGAGAGAGAGAGAGAGAGAGAGAGAGCTGGTGGTGCTGGTGCGCGATACAATAACAGATGAAGCGGCGCGTGCTCCGCGCTGCTGCTGTCTTCCTCCCCCCCCCCCTCTCTCTCTCTCGCTCTGTCCTCCCCCGGGAGCGCCGCGCGCCGCGCATCCCCGCGGCGTGGCCACGCCCCGTATGACTCGCAGCATATGTGCCGCCCCGCCAGGCCAGGCCGCCACCAGCGCAGACTGATTCCGAGAGTCGTTTTCGTCGCTCTGTCTCTCCCTCAACTAAGCGGGACGCCCCATAGGTGCGAGAGAGAGCGACGAAAACGACTCTCAGTCTGCAGTCTCCCCCGCCCCGACCGCGGTGCCGCGAGTGTCGCCGAATGCATATCAAAAAGGCTGCGCCCGGGGAGTACGGAGTGCGGGTACACTGCCGAAACGCGGTCATGTCCTACGCTGTTTCGCGCGGCAAGGCAAAGGCGAGTCGAAATGACGCATCGGCTCACTGCGACATGCGCCGCGCGGTGCGCGGTGCGCTCGCTCCGCCGCCCCTCCGCGCGGGTTGTCATGGTGACGAGCAGTGACGAGGTAAACAGGTGCCGGCGGCGGCCAAGCGGGCCGAGCGGAAGGCCAGGATGGCGTCGACGGCCAGGGTGGACCGGGTGGACAGCGACAGCGTGTGCGACGACGACGTCGCCGGCGGCCACAAGGACATCGACTTCCAGGTCAAGACCGAACGCGTGCTGGCCGTACTGGACAGCGCCATCCAACGCGCCCAACTCGCGGTGAGGTTCAGGTTACTCCCTACCTCCGAGAGTCGTTTTCGTCGCTCTCCCACTCAGGGGGCGCGCCGCACAGGTGCGAGAGAGACAGAGCGACGGTGGAACTGGTTTGCAGCTGTGCCTGCCGCTGCTGCTGCGCCACGACGCCACCCTGCTGCGCCCCATCCTGCCCCCGGAGGCCCTGTCCCAGGTGCTGTCCGCCTGCAGCAAGTACAGCCGCCGGAGCAGCTTCGCCGGCGACCCTCCCTCCTCCACCATGGCCAGCTACCGCGCGTCCATGGACAGCCAGCGACTCTCCGAGCAGCGGGGCTCCACCGGCAGCCAGGGAGGGCAGGTACGTGTCTCTCTCGCACCCATCCGGGACGCCGCACGAGTGCGAGAGACTCATTTTCTCCCTTTCTCAGAGCGGCTCGTCCAGCAGCCAGGGCGGCCAGGGCGGCCAGGGCCTAGGCGGGGACCGCTGGTCCTCGGCCATGGGGCTGATGCGTGCGGCCGGCGTGGGGCGCGGCGTGGGGCCGCGGGGCAGCCAGGGCGCGCCGGCGGGCCGCCAGGACGCCGACGTGAGCCGCGCCCTCAACACGCTGTGGGACAACGAGGAGGTGCGGGAGATGGTGCAGACCCGCCTGCTGCCGCTCGTACGTGAGTGCCTAACGTGCCTTCCGAGGACTGATTCCGAGAGGCCTTTTCGTCGCCCTGTCCCTCCCGCACTCATGAGGCGTCCCAAGAAATCGACTTTCGGAATCAGTCCACAGTGCGTTCCGTCGGTTTGCTTCTCGTTTACGTTCGAAATGCGTCCCCCAGGTGTCCTCGACGGGCGCCGTGTTCCTGGAGTACCTGGCGCGGCTGCGCGCCGTGGCGGCGGACAGGCTGTCGCGGTCCCCGGAGGAGGAGCGCGCTCGCGAGGCGGAGCTGTGCGCGGCGTGGCGCGGCGGCCGGCAGCTGGACGCGGACCGCGCGCGCCTCGAGGGGCAGCTCCGCGACCAGGCCGAGCAGCTGGGCGGCCAGGTCGCCGACAAGGCCAGGGCCGTGGCGCTGCTGCGCCACAACGTCAACCTGGTGCGCCGCCAGTGCCAGGAGGAGGTCAAGCTCATCGTGTGAGTGGCAGTTGCCGTGTCCGTCGTGGGCATGCAGCCGCACAGTGGAATCGCCAGAAGACCGGTGGAGGCGGTCAAAATCCCGGAGCTCCAGAGTCGCTGAGTGGGACTCGAACCGAACGTGTGACCCCACCAATGGGTTGCTCTCCGAACGAGGAATCCATTGGCGGGGTCACACGCTCACCCGAGTCCTGTTCAGCGACTCCGGCGCTCAAAACGCGTCTAGAGTTTTGACCGTCTGCCTGCGCCGAGCCTCTGGCCCACTGTGAGCCGAAGCCGAGCGATTCAGAAGAGCGGTTTGTCTCTCTCGCACTCGTGGAGCTTTCCATGAGTGCGACAGAGGCAGAGCGGCGAAACGACCCGTCTGGACCGCTCGGCTTTGGCGTCTGCTTCCAGAGATAAGTCCGAGCGCGCCATGGTGCTGGAGTGGCGCAACAGCGAGTACCGGCAGGAGAACCTCAAGGCCGAGCTCAACACCGCCACCGAGAAGATGGCCGCCACGCTGGCCGCGCACCTGGCCGAGGAAAAGGAGCTGCGCGTCAAAAGGTTGGACTTTCTGTCTCTCTCGCACTCACTGGCAATCCGCAAGGAGCGACAAGGACAGAACCACGTGATTACCCAAAGAACACGAAACACTCACGAAGCAGTCACAGGAAGTCAAAATGACGTCAAAATAATGCTTTTTCTGTCGAAATTCTGACTAAAATTCGTCATGGTTACATCGAAATGACGTCTTTCTGAGCGTTTCGTGTTCTTTCGGTAGTGGACGGCCCCTTCGTTTGCGGTGATTAAATTTTTCCGCTTTCGAATGCGCCCAGGCACAAGATGGAGACGCTGCTGCTGACTTGGCTGCAGAAGTTCGACGCCGACGTGGGCGAGAAGTTCCAGGAGCACGAGGAGCTGTCCGAGGAGTACGAGAACGAGGCCCAGCAGATGAGGGAGTTAACTGTGAGCGCCTCTCCGTTTGCGTATAAGATATTTTTGGGCGAGACGTCGCGGTGGCGCGCCGTGAAGGTAGACCACCCATTCGGCACGTCGCGGGGAAGACGTGTAAGCCAAGGCATTTAGGTTCGCCTGGGAGTCGAACCCTGGTCTACGCTCCGAGCCACCGAGACGCTCGTACCCAAACTTAGACTGATGGTACCGGATGTACTCCGTGGTTTTTGTCGGCATCAGATCAAATGTGGTCTGGCCTCTCAAGTTCGAGTCGAGCCGACAGAACTGCTTAACGCGGCTTAACGGGACTGCCTACCCCCCCAGGCGCCAGGACCTACACTGCTACAGTGAAGTGGTTGTGGGTGCTCGTTGCATTGCAGGGTTGTTAACGTTACTTCAACGGGTAACGGTTAAATATTGGACACAGGCCTTTAACGGTAACGCGTTAAGTTAATGAGTGTGGCTCACGGGTAACGCTGGTAACGTTTCACGCGTTAACCTCATACATTACGATTTGGCAGGTTTTTACAAGCTTTGAGCCCAACTTAGTGCGACCTTACTAACGTAGTAACGGTAACGCGTTACATTTGAAAGTAACGTTAACAACCCCGTTGCTTTGTGACTGGCAGGAGCGGATGGAGGCCCAGGAGGGCGAGTACCGCTCGCTGCTGGCCGAGAAGCAGCGCTACGAGAAGGAGGAGGAGGACGAGGCGGTCTTCGCGCTGGCCAGCAAGCACGCCGCCAAGGTGATCCAGCGCGCCTGGAGGGCCTACCGCCTGCGCAAGCGGCTGGCCAAGGCGGCCAAGAAGAAGGGCAAGGGGAAGGGCAAGAAAAAGGCAAAGTAAGAAATCACTACGTACTTTGTATTTAAACTCCTCTCGCGATTTTTTTTTGTTGATTTTCTTCAACATTAAAAGAAAGAAAATGAATCACATTTTTTTTTTAAAGTCCTCGATTATATACAAGTATTGTACATACAGATCCCATAGCTTTAGCACATTTATTTTATAATAATAAAAAAGTTCTATGGTTTTATGTACAGGGAACTGAATTTTCTAATTTGGGGCACAATTGAGAGATTGTGGATCATAGAATAACAAATAAAGTTCTTAATTAAAAACAGCTAAAGATATGACTTCATTTCGTCAAATCTACAGGAATTATTGAAATCACAAAAGCGCTCAATTTGCTAATCAACATAAGAATGCCACTTTGTTTATAAAAATACATAATTACAATCTTTCACAATCATAAAATTGGACATTTAACATTAAGAATTGGCCTTAACACCATTCTATGACCCTGACTGAATATTTAAAAGGGCAAGTGCCTTAGACAATTGTTGCATTGTGTTGATGTTCGAACACATACCTAGTGCAAAAACTTTTTGAAGTAAGGGGACCGCATCCTCTGCAATCAAATAAACAAAACATAAGTTAAGAAAAACCAAGACTTTTTACAAGTTGAAAGAAGTGCAACAATGAAACCCTAGAATGTACCTTGAACTGAAAGAACAACGTCAGGCAACCGATCTAAGGCTGTGGCCACCACTTCTGGCTGGTTGCTGTCCAAACACTTGGAGATAATTCGGAGAGCTGCACCGCCTGCAGCAGCCGATGGGTCGTGTTTCCAATACCTCGCAAGAAGGGTATGCGATATACTCCTAATAGAACTTGAGGGGGACAACAACAATGACCCTATTGGCTCGACGAAATTTCTGAGCATTCCAGGCATGCGGTAAGATGCATTTTCAACATCCTGCAAGGCTACGTTGACTTCTGAAAACGTAAAATTTAAGGATAATTGATTCACAGTATGGCTCATCAAAACGTAGAAGGTAAACGCTATATGCCACCCACCTTCTCCCTCAGCCTGCTCTAATCTTTGTAGCAAAGGCCTCCAGTCCACTTCCTGCTGAACAGGGGGTGCTGCCACCGCCACCAACACTTCACCTCCCTCTGTATCCTTCTCCTCTCCTTCCCTGTCAGACTCCTCTGTGGATTCACGAGGCATTGAAACACCTGACATGAGCACACACAAACTGCTGAGCTGTGGTTGACGGTGTTGAAGTTCTCTGAAAATATGAAAAAAAAACGAAAAAAAAAACACTGTGAAATAAATCCAGCAACAGTTATATTTATAAACTATTAAAATAAGGCTTTTGCAGCTTACCTTAAGAGATTAGCATGAGTGTGTAGATACTTGACAGCTGGAGATGCATCGTGTGAAACGTATGCAAGCATCAACGATATGATTCGATTTAAGATTTGACAAATGTCCTTTGTCATTCCATAATTCTAAAACAAAAACTTGTTACATGTGTGCCTTAAGAACATTTCAGTAACTTCAGCTTTCTTAACCATATGAAACATACCCTAAAAAGAGAGAAATAGGAGTCCAACGTTGAATGCAGAGCTGCAGCATGTTTGCGATGGAAAAGGTACGGCTTTAGAAGCTCCAGGATACCCAGAATATGTTGGAAATATGCCAAATGACTGCGATTTCTAAAAACTCCATAGTCTAAATGGGTACGCCCTCGTAGGGATGAGGCAACCATTGGCAGCTGTCTCAGAACAAGAGCTGGATGAACAGAAGCCATTTTACGAGTAGCAAGCTCAAATTCTTGAGATCTACGAGGAGATTCTTTTGACATGGGAGTAGCAGCAAGTGCAGTGAACAACAGGTGAGACATTCGATCCAGCACACTTGATCCATTATCTGCAGGGGAAAAGAAAAAAGTCGATTATAATATATCTGTAGTACACAATGTGTGTAACCATTCTGAAGTCTGTTACATTAACCATACCTGTAGTTGAAGCTTTCTCCAGGAACTTGTCTGCTTCAGAATCCACCAAATATTTGATCAGACCAGGTATTCTAAAATACAACCTCAGTAGAAACTTATGGGCCACATCTGCTTTGAGACTGCAAAATGAAACAAAGAAAATGAGTACATGTCTTACAGAACAATATATTACTCCAAAAGAGAAAGTGTCGAAACAATTACCCTTTGTTCGCATCATTTGTTGCAATATTAAGTAAATGTTTGACAATGTGAGCCACAAGCTCAACATTTTCCTCAGTACAAAGAAGCAGCAATGGCAAGCGAGACTCAAGAGATTTGCCATTGTCTTGAGCAGCTTCTTCTATTATATAGGACACTACACTTTGAAGCTATAAATGAAAAATAGTGGGGGGAAAAAGAGAAAGAAAAATTATATTATAGAAGGAAAGTTAGGTCAAAACTTAGAGCATGATAAAAGCAAAGCAGAATGCAGAATGTGTACCTGAGGAACGGAGAGACAAAGTACATTCTCAGGCACATAATGCTTTGGTGTGTTCTTTTCTCTTCCCTGCCAGAGTTTTGGGTTGCTAGTAAGAGCCCATAAGAAATCCAGGACAGCAATTGGCTCATACCTGAAAATAAAGTGACATTTTGGAAATCATTCAGTAGAGTGTTAATTAAAATTTGTAAAAATACATTTACAATTTAATCCAGTACTCACTCTGGCTCAGTGGATGATAAAAGGTGCTTAACAACTGTATGCAAAGTAGCCCAACTAGCCCTGTGAATAAGGAGAGTCAGCAAGTAGGGGCGACATGACATGGTAGTTGTTGAACAACCAAAAAGGAGCTGCATCTGTAAACCAATAGGTTGCTGTTCAGTTCTTTGGAGTTTGTCTACCACAGAGGTTTGCCTGTCTAGACATGTACAGTATACAGATAATAAATAATTAAAAAATGTGGGAATCTACCTGAAGTTTGTGACATGATCCAATAAGCTCTGGTTCCATTGAGACCAGCTTGTCAATAAGACGCCCAGTGTTCAAAGAATCCGATGGAGATTTTGTGAGGAGAGCGCTCGTTACAGATTGAACACTTGCCACTCTGCTGTCAGGTTTGACAGAGGGTCTTCTGCCATTAGTGAGGTCAGCCATTTCATGATCTTTACCATCATATTTCTGAACAAATGTTTTTAATATTGCTGTTAGAGGAGATTTGACAGGTAAGTCAATTTGGAGTATTGCTTTGGCAGACTGTAGGAACTGCTGCAGGGCAGCAGGAGGATATTTGTCCACATTCTAAAACAGAACAAGAAATCACCCAAGTCAGAAACTCTTTTTCCTTTCAAGTGTGATCATTTTTAAAAAAAACGTATTTTTCCAACCTGGTTAGCGAGTATGAGTCGAAATAAAGGACATGACATGTGAGGAGACGAAAACAGGGATGAAATCCAATATCCGCCTACAGTGCTTGATAATGTAGTGGCAAAATACTCAGCTATAGCTAATAGAATTCTGCTATCTGCTGGGCATTGCTCAAGTTCAACAGCCAGACTCTAGAAAGAAAAATATTAATTTGTTAAATATATGTCAGATGTTACTGCTATTCCTCAGGCACTTGCAAGATGTCATTAAACTTACCAACTGCAATGATTTACAAGATGCTGTTTTTACTGATTGTTCATTTTGGGCTAGAAATACGTCATCTAGGCAAAGGCGAACTTCCTGAGGTTGTAAAAGCTGCCGTCCAGCAGCAACTGGTGTACCAATGGGGAAGATGTTCCGATGACTTTTAGCAGGCGGCTCCAAGGCAACTGCAGTGTACAAAAAACGTAAGTAAAGCCAATTTGAAATAATTATAATTTTAAAAAATGGATCCACCACTATTTCTTACCCGGCAGCACAGGCTCGTGCAACTGAAGATCTTGTACAAACATGTTACCATTGGTCGCTCCCCGTTGCCACTGTACAGCGACAAGTTGAGCCATGTACACTTTGTCAATGACTGCATTGGCAACAGCAACATCATTAAGCAAAACACTTTGGTCCAGAGCAGCCAGAAGCCTGCTCATTGATTCCACTGGAATTCCAAATGACTGAATGAAGAGGACCAGGTCTCTTGGCTCCAGGTCAGCAAGAGCAGCTTCAACCAGCACTTCAACTTCTGAGCGGATCATCCGCAACTTCAACCAGTCTGGATAAAGAAGGGCTTCTTCTGAAGTGTCAATGAGGTAACCTTTGGGCAACTGCCCACTTTTGGGAAACCAAGCCTCCAAGAGCTCATCAAAGATAGTTCTGTCACTACAGGGCCCATATGATAGTAAGATCACCATAGCATGAACTACAAGGATGTGCATGGTTGATTCCACACCTTTGCTCCATGTAACTAAAATATCTTGATTCTCAGCCCATGTGGGATGTTCCTTTCGAGGCTCCCGAGCCTTGATTAAATAGCTATGGAATATTTTCATTAAGAACATCAAGGTTTCATTATTTTGTGAGCCTTTGAATGGCACCAGAGCAGACATTATAGTACACCTCTCGACAATCAAAGTGGCCATATCTAGTACAAGGTCAGTCATTGCAGGTAAACTGTCAACTATTGCATGCTGAGACAGAAAATTGATGTAAGCCCCAACAAGAATTGTTTCATTTTCCACTTGACATGCTGCGCGCAGTGCTTGAACAACTTGTGGTTTTGCCAGTTCAAAGTGAGGTATTTGAGGCAAATGGCGCAGCAGCCAAGAATGTTCGCGGTCAATGCCATCAACATCCATAACCAGTGCTTCATCTTCTAGATGAGACATCACTAGTTGCAATCCCTGAAAAATTATAGACCTTAAAATGAGTAATACCAATGCAATGCATTTTCATGGGGCATGTTCTTTTTTATTCAATTGTCACCTTGATTGCCTGCAGACGACTGGCAGATTGAGTGGAGTGGAGGCGACGTAAGAAGTACTCCAGAACTTCGCAAGGTGCGCTGGGGTCTTGGTTGGCATCCATTAGAACTGATCTTAAATGACTGACAAGCTGCTGCTGCTTGTGTTGCTTATCAACTGTAGAGCTCAGTAGAAATTCACAGAGACACTGTACCGGAAGGTGACTGAAACAGAGGAACAGTTAGTGCTGTCAAGGTTAAAACAATAGAACAGGTGGACATGATTTGTATTATCTTTACCTCAGAGCACCTTCTGAACTCTCAACCAGATCTGCTAGCCATGGCATGGAGTGAGAAGCTCCCTGTCTCTGGATAATATCAACAAGGAAATCTGGGTTGCGGCATCTGCACAGTCTGTGGCCCATGCGATGAGATTCGTTCAGAGTCCGTAGCTGATCTAGGACTGCTTGAGGCGGACGACGAGGTGCTCCGGACGGATCCATTGTTATCAACTGCAGAGTGTCAGAAAAATATATTTACTGTAGTTCACAGATGTTTCCATTTGACTCCACGTAACCTTTAGGTAAGAAATACAGAAGGGGTTCTCACTTGAGATAGAAGAAGACTTGTATGCTCAGTTATGGCAACTTTGGTTGACTGCGCTGCAAGATGGGATTCAAATTCCAAAATTTGCTGTTTTTCTAGCTGAGCCAACTGAAATTCCCTGGATCTCAATTCATCCCCATGCTCTCCAAGTGATGGCGGAGGGTATACAAAATGGCTAAAAAAGTAGTAATAAGTAAATAAAGGATCACTACAGGAAATCAATTCAGTAACAAGTACAGATAAAATACAATACAGTGGACACCCTTACTTGGTAATACACATTTCCATAAAGGCCCTGAGAGTGGGGTACTTCTCCCATGCTACCTTTCCAAAACTTGTTGGGTTGTGGGTAGCAAGAAGAAGCAACATGATCCATGCTTTCCAATAAGAGTTTGATATAGCTAATTGGGGAGGTGTATACCTGTAGAAATAATCAAATAAATGGTAGTAAGACTGTTCATACGTTAGCATAGTGTTTTAGGAAAAGCATCTTACCCTTTTGGCAAAATGATGTTTTCAGGATGATGGTATGCACTTAAATTAAAAATTAGGTCAATTATTTCAACCTTATTAGCCTCCAGCATGTTGCTTCCCTCTGAGCTAAGGCCTGAGGCCCTCTTCAACAGCTGATCTGAAAGCTCCATGGTTTCAGGAGCATTCATTGGATGATCCTAAAAAAAATTTGACATACATTATGTTTGAAATCAAAAATGTTACACATACAGGAATCAGAGAATACTGACCTTTGAAAGTCCAATCAGAAGAATTCGCATCAATGTGTGCTGCAGCAGTGGAATTTCAGAAGCTAAACGCAACATACTCATACGATCAACTTCTTGGGGCCAATTATCTATCTTGTAATAGGTGTCTGCTTGTCCCATGAACATGACCTAAAATAGCAATATTATAGTGAGTCACTCTGGACATGATTTCTAACTGTACATTTTAATAGTTTTGAAACAATTATTTTAAATATCACCTTGTGAATACCATAGACATATTCAGCTTGACTCGGTCGGTACAAGCGCAGAGCGATTTCATGATGCCACCACATAGAATCTTGCTGAATTTTTGCCACTGTATTTTGGAAGTTCTGTAAAACAAAAATTCAGTTCTAGTTAAGTTTCAGGTACAGGGAAATATATTAGGATAAATTGAAAATCTACAAACCTGATATACTCCAATGTCTTTCTTATCTCCTTTGGCTATGTGGCTGGCAGCCTCTTTGACTGCAGGTGAAATTGCAAGGAAAACAGATAAACATACAAGGTCTACTATGTTTACATACATTCGATCTTTAAAATCAAAGTCTCGAAAAGCAGCTTTGTGTTCTGGTGCATCTGACATCAACGCACGACAAAAGGAATTTACATCAAGATCGTGTCTCAAATTTCGAATAACAAGTTCACGAAGGAAAGCTCTCAGGGGCCGATGGAAATCTTCTCTATTCATAAGAATTTCTTGAAGAACATGAGCCAGTAAGATAGGAGCATTCTCAGCAGATATTTGAAACATGATAGTGATCACAGCCATATTGTTAGAATTTCGAGCATTGGATAGTTCATTGTAGACAGTATGTTTCATGAGAGTGCTTAAATTTTCTGAATGAGCATTAACAAGTTCTTTTATACTCGATAAGTAGAAGTTCATGAGGGCTTTAGTTTTCAACCTTATCTTTATGATGTTGATCATTACTTCTATATCACGCTGGGTATGACTACTACAATTAACACAAATGTACATAAGTAATTCCTGCGCAGGTCTAGTAAGCTTTGGATTTTGAAGCCATGTTTCAAGTCGTTGAGCGGCAGTAAGTCTAACTTCCACAAGGCCACATGTTGCAGATAACATTTTCAAAAAGTTTCTTGTGGTGTTTTCAGGGGCTTGACGTCGAAGTAACTGCTCCTTGATAGCTTCAGTCACAATTGGTTCAATAATATCATGAGAGCCATTGTATCTTGGCATTACAGGAAACTCATGTTTGCTGTCTGTGATGCACAGACCAAGTTCTTCTTTCAGACCCTCCAAACCACTGTCATCATCGCCAATAGCTGAAGAGGGTGATGAGCAGGTGCTACTTAGCCCAGCCACACTAGGTGGTACAAGCCCCAAATCAGGAGGCAGTTGTGATTTTGTGGGATGTTTTGTATTGAATGCAGTTGCCACATTTTCAACAAATCCTTTGCATTCTTCCATGTCAACCCATACGCGTTCATTAATGGCATCTTCAACATATAGCTGTAAATATTGTCAAGGAGTAGAGGTTCATGCAATAGTCAACAAATCACCACTTTTTTCAAAACTACATATCAATTGCTCCGGGAAACTTACCCTCACAAATGAATCAGGCCAATGTTTACGTTCATTAAAGGCTCTCATTAGCAAGCCTGTGACTAAAATAGGAACCACAGGATTACTTTTGTTACTTTTAATACCTAAAGTAATGTCCCTCCTTAGCAGAGAGCATAAAGCTTGTGGCACTGGTTCAATTGCCATCAAAGATGGACGAATTTTCCCAAGGTACAGTAAACTGAGATAGAGGCATGGATCAAGTTTTCCTCTCAGCATTTTGATAGCTCTAAGAGCGCCGCATATCTGGCCAACCTGAAAATATTGGTCATAACAGCTATTAAAAATTTTAATTGGGAATGGAAAATAATGAAACAAACTGCTAATAAACATACCACTTTATCTGTCTCTCCTGTATCATTGGCCTTTAAAACTTCAACAACAAGTCCTGAGGGTTCTGTATCAATTGCGACAGTTTCCCATGTGTCTGCGCCAGAAGATGGAGGTGCAGATACTGAAGAGGTAGGGCCTGCTACGCCTCTACTAAGAATAGCCCCTACACTTGGAGTAACTTTTGGCTTCTTTGCCATCATCATCGAGGACATTCCTGAAGGAGGGGCCTCCCGTTTTCTATCTGGTGGGCCTGAAACAGACATTGCAGTGTTAATGATAAAGAGGCCTATCAATTACACAGGGCATGAAAATAGGGAAAAACCATACCAGGTATGCCATGGCTCGGCACTGGTTTTGAATGTGGTGGTGTAGGTCTTTTCGGCTCTCCAGCATCGACCCTTGAAGGACCTTTGGAGCCCAGAGCAAATAAGTCCGCAGGGTAGTGTGGTGTTTTGCTCTTGCCACCCCGTCCTGTCATACTCTTCCCTCGATCCATATTGGATAAAAACCTAAAATCAATGACACCAGAATATGAAACATGTTGATGGATGTAGAAAATAGGCAAACTTGATACTCTCCAGGTGGAATTTCACAAAAATTTACGAGGAAAAGAGATTTCATTCCCTTTAAAAGATGAACTTCTAAAAAATTCATGCAAAACTGGAATGTGTAAACAAAACCCGGCCTAACCTTATGACAGCATCGACGGCAACAATATTAAGATGATACAAATCAGCGTAATGGAGGCATGTTCAAATGAAAGCCTTAAGGACAGTTATTCCAGTCTGTACATATCAAAAGCATTTAACAACATCCACGTTTACTTAAAATATAAACAATATATTGCAAGCATTCGCGGACATGAATGAACTGCAAGTTATTATGAGAAACGACGACCTAAACAAGATTCGTATTTACAGTGCTAGCGAACCCCTGAACGAGACTATGACTATGAAAATTTAATCGTTCATTTGTTTCAGTGCTGCTAACCTTGAAACTATATCATAGACAACCAAATTCATTCATTTTTCTATCAGTCCTAATTTCTGTTCTTGGAAATCATCGAATTTGGCGTCAAAAATTTGAACCTTTCGAAAAAATTTCTCCGTATACCATGGCGAAGAATGACCAGGTGTTTACAAAAGCTAAGATTTGAAGAAGGGTTGTGAACCTGGACGACTATTTCCGTTTCCATGAAGTTTCAAAATCTTAGTTTTAAGAAGTATCTTTATCCGTTAGTGCGTTGTCTAGAAGTTCCGACTCCTGCAATGACTTACTTGAAGATTTTGCAGCTTCAGTATGCCAAGTAGCTCCCTCCCCCCCCTTCCCTCCAAAAAATCAACATTAAAAAAGGGCAAGAAAAAGAAGACTACAAAAACTTTTTTAAAAGTTTATTACAGATACAGATATGGGACTGAAACAGAACAGTCCAGGGAATTCAAAATCACAGTAAAGTAGATACCACAATAGAAAAGTGAAGAACTAAATGAGTGAAAGGTACAAGGAAGATGAATGTTTTACAAATTGCTGGCACAAAGTTCTTTACAATGTAATAGGAAATGTATATTGTATTCTATTTTAATTGTATTCTAGGACTGGCTAAAGTTCTTTGCTCTCTTCAGCCCCTGATAGTATCCTGGAAAAGTAACGAAATGCAGAAAGATTAATGTGACTTCATTATATCGTCAAAGGCAATGCGAAATCACACAATAAGATTTGGACAATAGGTACCTGTATGAAAACCACTCATATACCATGACATCAACATTGCGGACAACGCTTCGGAATCATCTCCTGGAAGACTTGCCAAGACATGAGGAGGAAGGGGTGGTGGAACCATCTAACACAAACACAAATTCAGACAAATCAGTACTTGAACAGGAGAAAGACAGACAAGATTCACTGCATGCGACACCTACATCATTCATGGCAGAGGGAGCTCTAATTCCTGAAAAATTGGGTACACCCAGTCTGGGACCTCCAGAATTTGATGGTGCAGAGAAATGAGGAGGCCGGGGAACATATGGTGGATTTCGTGACTTTTGTGCATTGGCATTCTTGTGTGAGCTGTCACCCAATCCCATCTTAGATAGAGAAATAGTAGAGCTAGCCTCTGATGACCGTTCCATAGGGTCGTCACTCTGGGCAGCTTCAGTATCTTCAGCCTTTAACATCCCAACACAAAGCAAAAGATTAGACATGAGCAGGTATGGAAGATTTTAATGTTGAAGAGAGAATTTCAAAGATTAGAGCAAGTTCACACCTTCAAGGTTGCAATGTTCACTTGCTCCCTACGGACTGCTGCTCCCATGGAGTGCGAAAGGGCGGATAAAGGCTGCTCTTCAGAGTTTCCATACCCTTGAATTGCAGGGAAAAACAAACATGTATCATATAAGGGAAGTAACTTCCACACCTAGTCCATGGTACATCATGGACTTATTGGAAAGGTAAATAGTAGATTTGAACATACCAACATACTGAACAATACAAGTGCCTCGATCATGGTCGATGGACACAACTGTGGCTTCATACAACTGCTCATCGACAGTAAACTTGGCCTGACAATGGTCACCAGCTGCCCACTGCAATCATATAAATTTGAAATTTTACTGGTTCATGCCAAAACCATGATTGTACCCAGATTCTTCTCACTCACTTCTCGGTGCTGCTTGCTTTTGCCCTTTCTACGCCTTTTCTTCTGATGGCGCTTCTGGACTTTGGAACCGTCCTTTTCAAGAACGCTTCTAGAACTACCACTCTCAGTAGCAGATGCTTCTTCAATTTCAGCATTACTTAATCCCATTCTTTCAGCAACAAGGGCCTTCAGTGGTCGGACTGCCCTGTCATACTCTTTCAGTAGTTCAGTGTCATCCCAATCATCTGCTGTAGAATCACCGTCCTAAAAACAACAGAACAAGCTGAATGTAAGTGGCGGCGAACTAAGGATCCTGAAGGTTGATCGATGATTGATTTCTACGTTTGCAAACAATAATAACAAAGCAATAGTTTCTGATGAGGCATGGCCTCTTGCGTTTGTTTTAAAAGATACTTCTGGGCACCCACTCACCTGGCTTCCTCGAGCAAACAAAACCTGCGGAGTTTCTCCAACTTTGGACATTGTGTGTCTTCTGACAACAAAAGACTTAAACCCTTATTTGAAAAAAGAAACCGAATTTCGAAGCCGAAACGTTTAAGCTACTGCGAATAGTGCAGACGCTATCGTGCCAATAGTGCACCGGCATAGTGGAATCGATTCATCGTTTCCACACCCCACCCCACCGCTCCACTTCCCCCTCTTCACCTCCGTCCCCCTTCCCCTCAATTCCGTTGTCTTTGTGGTTGTGCGCGGAGATGACACATTCCAGTAAACATGGCAGGTGGATGCTCGACTAATGTTTTTATATATTTGTTTATTGTGATCTCATTAATTTCGTCATCTTGGTCGTACCTTGAATGTGAGTATAATCTTCCTGGTTTCTTTGGCTAGAGCTTCATTGCGTTGTTTTGGCCTTCCATTCCTACATTTCTGGAGGTTATCAAGCTTCACTGACTCCCAGGACCAGGATTTTCTGGATATAGTTTAGCCTTGACTTTCTTTGCTGGATGGACAACTGTAATTTTCTAGAGCAACTTTTTGAAGTTTTGCCCTTGACTTTTAATGTAGTCACCTGTATCATTTCAGGGCCCATTCATTTCATTTCATTGGCCATGAATGTGTATAGTTACTTAAGGGTATCTATGGGAATTAATGAATTGTTATTTTACAGATAACCTAGAGAATAGCAAAGTATGTTCTATGATACGTAAGAGAGAGTTAACTTTGCTGAAGGAAAATGAAAACTCTGGAATAATCTTGAAAGAACTTCGCTATTTTGACAATTGGTCTGGACCATATCCATTTATCTGCAACTTTACGGTCAAGGCACCTTGGGGACATGGCATTATAGCAGTCATTCAAAATTTAAATCTCCGTAAAAATGAATCTACTGATGAATGCATCGACTATGTGCAGGTATTGTATTGAAGTACATCACATTTGTATTACTATATTTTAACAAAAGAAAGTAAATTGTGTTCTAACTGGTTCTTGTGATTCCAGTTTCAGAAACGAACTTTGTCACCATTAATGTTTTTCAAGTCAGATTTCATAAAAAGCACACAGTATTGTGGAAAAGTCAACTCAATCCGTGATCCAGATGATGATGATGAAGATACGGAAGAAAGATTTAGATATGCACACAACGCATTTGTTGATGAAAAGGGCCAACTGGATGTCACTATTTCTGTAGCTGGCCAACGTCTGCTGCAATCTCAAAAACTCGATATTGCGATTACATTTACTGCATATAAGAGTAGGTATCCATTTACCATTTAGATTGACTTTGTTTCGTAGACTTCTACCATAATTATTCTCAACATTTTTCATGCAGATTGCAAGCATGGTGACCAAGATGGGCTGAAGGAATGTAAAGAGGGGAGTGGCATATGCATTTGGGAAGGTTTCTTCGATGACAAAAATGTCAATTGTCCATATGATGATTGTTATGATGAAAGTGGCTGTCCAGTAATTTCGTCAGGTAAAAGAACTGTCATAAATCAAACTTCATTTTTTGTGGTTTTCTGTAAGTGTACCAATTTGATTATATCAATCAACTTTAATTTTCAGGTGGAAAGAAACAGAGCTCTGGACTTGGAACCAAAGTCACTATTGGAGCAGTGGTGCTCATTCTTGGGCTCCTCCTCCTTTTCATGTTATGCCTCTTTGTTTGTCGCCGGTGCCAAGTGTTGTGCTGGTCGGGTCCTCCTGCTCCCAGACCTCAGCGTTCAATACCTCAATCGGTTCGTGTTGAAATGATGACAACGTCTGGCACAAGCGGAGACACTACCAGGCACGCTCAACCTACAGCACCACCTTTGTTACCACTCTCACAAACAGCGTCACCAGTTCATGAAGATAAGGACCTCCCTCCACCCTATGAATCCCTGTTTCCATCAAGATGAAAAACAACAACAAAAAACAACAAAAAAGAGTTATATTTTAGGTTATAAAATTAATGATCCCAGTGTTTAATCCGTACTTTTGTCGAATATTTCTGCCCTTGGGATGTGTAAGTCTTGTGATCATATCAAAACTGTTCAAAACTTCTCAAAGTTACTACTTATGTGCATTTATTCACATCATGGGAACTCAATGGATTCATTGTGGAACTTCCCTAAGATGTAAAGATAATATAAGCTATGTTTGGCTTATTTGAAAGAGAATCTATTGCTTGAGGAATTTGTGCCTAACTTATTTTTGTATGGGATTTTTACAACATTTTTTGTAATGTTTCAAGATTGAAATTGAATTTCTTTATTTTTGTAGAAAAATATTATTTTCAATGTTATTTGAAAGTTTTTTGGTGCATTTATAAAAAATTTTCTTGCGGGATCATTTACCAGTGCCAACTTATACCAGTTGACGATGAACCAATAAGAGACCAAGTTTAATACTCATTCAAAATTAATCTGTTGAACTGAAATAAAATCTTTCATGTAATCAATCAATTAATCATATGCATCTATGTGAATCAACTTTGTACAGTGTAAACTAGAGAATGCTTATTTTAAGATTCAGAAATAGATAGTTCTTAGAATCTTAGTACTAAGAGCAGGTCCTAATTGAGAGTGTCTCTTGGATTGATACTCTTGGGACTTTTTGAAATTATGTTGAGCTGTAAAGCCGGAGGACTGAACTCTTAGTTTATATGACTATTTTATTTTTGTCTATGTTATCAACATTGTGGACCATTTCCAACTTGGAAAGATTCTTGTTGTCAATTGATGGTACGATCTCTGCTGCCATTCCCTTTGTAATTGAATTTGTATTATTTGTTTTTAAATTTAATTTAGTTTGAATCCACACCATTCTAGTTTATTTGCTGCTTATTAATGTGACTCATCAACCTTATGAAGTCTAATTATCAGCCTCCCTCCTTGTTTCTCCTCCAAACCTGTTTCTACTGCAAAATATTAAATGCAGGATGGTTTGTATGAGCCTTTTGTAATGTTTTAAAAAGTGTGTGGCAAGTTGGACTTTATTTTGTGTTTTGTTTTTTTGTTTTGTTTCATCTTGTGTCTTCTAATGATGGAGCAGCCATGAGCTGTACATTCTGCCGTCGTCTTTCGGCACTGGCCTCTAAGTGCAAACAACAGGCCTGTTTTTATCTCTCCTGGATCAGCTCTCGAAGAGCATCTAGAATTTATTTCAATTGTTTAATGATACAGTATTTCTGACTCAAACGTCAGCATGATTTTTAACATGATTTATCTCATTTATTTTGATTTTTGATTGAATTTTGAAAATAGCACTGTTACTTGTGTAAAATATAGCTGGAACGAGTATTGTGCTTGGCTGATAACTCTGTATGTAGTGCATTGTTTATAATCATATTGTTTCCTGAATTGCTTCATGTTGGTGTAGTATTTCATTTATGTAACTCTTGTATTCAGTTATATACTAGTCGCGCTTGTAAACTTCCTTCTAAGGGAGGTTCTTCTCTGTTGCATTTGTCTCCATGGCAAGGTTTGGGTTTTGAATGAATGTTTAAAGTACCCTTGATGAGAACCGCTCCTGAACTACTTGATGAACTTTTGTCCACCGCCGCCGGGATAGGGCCAGGATCAAATGTGGACTGCTCCATATTTCTTAAACGGGTACTGTGGTTTATGAATGAAATCCTGCTTAAATTTAAGATCTGTGGTATTTTAAATGGCTCGCTTTGCTCTTGGATTCATGTACCTTCAAATAGAGTGTTACTCAAAATTTTGTGCTACAGTTAAGCTTGATCTTGTACCAAACAGGTTTTACTCTTTGTCAAATCTGCATGTTTCCACAGTCAGGTCAAAACCCATTTTCTTTGTCATTTCAGTATTATATTGTATGTGGGATAGGGTGGATCTTAATTTCAGATTTTAGACCCCCCTTTTTTGTTGGTTATATTGGAAGGGAAGGGCTTAAAGCTAGGCCTTCTTGGCCAAAATTGTGTTGCTGCCAAACTAGATATGATATGAAAACAGCTTGGGTCTTAACAATGATTCTTAGCTTGTAGGAACAGTAATGTACTCTGCATCTCTTGAGACCTCACGCATTCTGATATCACATCTAGTGATACAAAAGAATCTTCCTTGAGACGCCAGATTGAAAATTTAAAAAAAAGAGGGGTCAGAAATTAAGATCCACTCTGATGTGGGAGCCTGTAACCTGTATTTTTATTGCACATGTAAGATTATTCAAAATAGTATTCAATTAGGCTTGACAAGAATTTGTGTTATTTGATTATTGGTTGGGCTTTAATCAATCTAAGTGTCCCTCATTCTATAATTAGTAGTTTGTTCACATTTAGAGCAAACAGTATTTTCTTTTGTTCATCTCCAGATTTTCTTTAGTGTTCCTCTTCATCATCGAAACAATTTGTGAACTGGGTATTCTGTAAAATATATAGATCGAGTTTCATATTGTTTTAAATACATAGAATGGCTTGTGGTGCTCAAAAAGTTTTCAAAGACTTGTTACGGGAACACTCTGTTTAATATTGTTCATCTTGGACCACTTTTTGATATATGTGCTCACTTTTTTCCTATTCACATGATTATGTTATTGTCTACAACTTCAATCTCATCGTTTGAATTTGTTTGATCTGAATTGTTATCACTTTGAATATTATTGATCTGAATTGCATATGATGTCTCTTTACTGCTTATTTTTGTCAAATTTTCTATTGTAAACTTGATCTGAACCTGTTATTTTTTTTACTTCAAATGAAATGCCCTTTCTTATTGAACTTGAACAAATACAAATGTAAATTTTTTTGTGAGCGTCTTAAGTATGCCACTTATATATTCTGTGATTTCTTAACTTTGTAAGTTAGTGTTTATTTGGAGATGTATGCAATGTTATATGTGTCAAATATATTTGTGTGATTTTCATCCAGGTCCTTTCTTTCACTCCTATTTCGACAAGTCTTCTTGTCTCGTGGGCCAAAATGCACAAGAGACAAATTTATATAGGCAGTATCAGCTCGGCACACCACCTCACTACCATTTATATAAAAAAAAATTATGACCACCACAGGACCATGGAGGCTCCCTGCCATTTCTCCAGGGTAGGGTGCATTGGCTCCGGCGCCCCTTGGGGTGCGCGTTACTAGTTGACGTGGACTCTGAGAGTCGTTTCCGTCGCTCTGTCTCTCACGCACGAGGGGTGAATCACTGGTGTAATTATGTGTACAAATTAGCCTACTCAGTGTACTCACAAGTTCAAATTTGGCAAAAATCACTATTTTGAAGTAAGATTTGTTGTTGCGAATTGTCTGAAACACTAAATACAGCCATTAAACGTATAAAAATGTGAAATTTGTGAGGTTTTTAAGGTGCACTCACCCGTACTCATGAGTCCACCAGAACGCCGAGTGATTCACCCCTCGCTCGCGCACCTGGGACGCCCCACGAGTGCGAGAGGGGCAGTGACGGAAACGACCCGAGGCCTCGGAATCTGTCTGCAGTAGGGGTTTGGAAAACGAGACCAGCTTGCGGTTCTCCAGGTTTTCAATCGGGCATTTTTCGAGCCCCCACAGCGCCCCACAGTGTATCGGCGAGAGGCTCATGTTGAAAGAGCCCTTGTTGAAAGTGCACGTGAACCTTGAACGAGTCCGTCGCAATACATTGACCATGCATGGCATCGAGAGCTTTCCGCGCCGCGGTGCTCGGAGACGCGATGAGTTTTAACTTATAAGTCTTTTCTTGGCAATGACAGAGTCGGGCTTATTTTACGTAGAAATAGCCCTTTATCTGCCACCAAAGTGTTGCAGCCTGTGACGTAGGCGACGTTGACTCGAGTCTGGATCTCAGACCCGCCAAGTGGCCACTCGACAGGTCCTTCAGGAGCGACGAGGAGCGAGGGGACGGTGCCACCTATCTACCGCTTTTGTGGCAATTAATCAATTAACGGTGTCGCGGAAAGAATAAGGCGAAGCTGCCGTCCGAGGGGGAAAGCACTCGCGTAATAGTCGGGTCACTCTGTCCGTAATAGCACGCGTAATAGTGTGCGTAATAGTAGCGTAATAGCTGAAATTCTCAAAATTTGATCTATTTTAGGGTTTTTTTTGGTCTGTTTTCAGCTAAATCGCTATATTTTGAAGCGTAATAGAGCGTTATAGGCGTAATAGTCGGGTCGCAGGTTTTAGGAGTGATTTCCCCCTCGCTGCCGTCAGAATACTCAGAATCCCCGCGCGCGTGGCAGACTCATTAGACTAAGTCGTCTGTGACGTGTGCGGCGCTGTGCGGCGGTCGCAGTGATTCAAGCACCACTCGGGGGACTCTCTCTGTCTCTCTCGCACTCGTCGGGCGTCGCGTTTCGGAGCGAGAGAGACGGGCCGACGATCAGCCTGCATCTGCAATCCCCGCCTGGCCTGGCCCGGCCCGGCTCGGCCCGGCTCCACCCCCCACTGCAGGACGCGACCAGGTCCCTTCGCACTTCACATACAGAGGCAAATTTAGATAAAAACAGCGTCCCGACAGGCTTCATCACCTCAGACAGCGCTCTCGCAGCCAGACTTCGGATCCAGAGTCACTGCAGCACGCAAGGCACACAAGGTGAGTCGGGCGGCGCGCTCCGCAGGGGCGTTTTGTTTTCAGACAGGCTTTCTCGTAACTTTCGTTTAACTTTGGAGGCCGAAAGGTAATTCGGGACAGGACGATAGGGCAGCCTTTCTCAAACTACCCCTGGTGTCCAAAATTATAATCATTCAATTGACGGCGCTGGTTTATCGGTTCGATCGGTCATTTGTCGATTTCTTTGCCGGTATCGAGCAGAACAAGTGTTTCATTCGCCGAAATTTTGGTTTTCGTCGTTTCTGTGATGACTGAGCGTTTGGTGGTTAAAATCACGTTAGAATCTTTCCGATTCCATAAAAACTCTGTACAGTAATGTAAACATCCAAATTTGTGGGGGCTCGTACTCTGGTAGAACTCAAGCGTAGTTTTACGCCTTTCTTCAAGCGTAGTAGAACTACGCTCGGCTTCAAGCATAGTTCTCCATTTTGCCCCTCTCATGCCTATCTATATGCATGGGAGAATTTCTTCTCTACGCTTGACGTCAAGCGTAAAGTCTTCTAGCGTAGTTGTATGCTTGAATCAAGCATACTACTACGCTTCAGTCTTACCGGTGTAAAGTGGGCTTTGGGACGAAATTGTTAGGTTTGAAGCGACAATTGCTGTTTCATATGAAACCAGTCAGTTTTCTTCTTTTGGAAGCTATCGCAATAATGTGGTGACAAATCCTCACCGACATTTAATATGGCAAAACTGCCCAGAGGCACCCCTTAAAAAGTTTGCTTTCTCGTCCTGCTCGGATTTTCCCTTGCCTTCGGCATCGCAATGAAATTCTTTAGCCGGTGACTAGATGAAGTTTAATCACAGCGAGAACACTTTTGGAGCGTCCAGCTCAGGCTGGAGTGGACCAAAGTCCTACAGTGGCGTGGAAAACGCCTGCGAACGGGAGCGTAGGCCGACCCGCCGCACTCGGCAGCGCGCGGAGCTAAGGGTTGCCTGCTGTCCGAAGCCGCCAGAGCGACATCGGCAGGGCAGCAGTATTGCCACAAAAGTACGCGAAAATTCCGACGACGAACCTGTGCCGACAGGGTGGCCAACGCTCAGCATCGTACACACGGCAACTTGTCTAGAGCAGAGCCCATTTATTGCATAGACCAGCGGTTCCCAACCTTTTTCGGTTCGCGACCCCAAATTTGTAACAAAAAATTTCCGCGACCCCCAGGAAAAATTTCGCGACCCCACGCGACCCCTCCTTTAGCATGCCTTTGATACAAAGTGCGATAATCCACCTTAGTTTGGGAGCAGTATTGCCGCAAAGTTGATCAAAACGGCCACAAATGTATTTTAAAAATCGTGTTTTGGGCCGACTTTAAGCAGCCACTGCGTCGGATCCGAGGCGGTATTTCGTCCTCCCTCAACGGGCATTTGGTCTTTGGACCTTCCTTTAGCATGCCTTTGTTACGGAGTGTGATTATCTGCCATAGTTTGGGAGCAGTATTGCCACAAAGTTGATCAAAACGGTCACAAATGTCTTTGAAAAATCGTGTTTTGGGCTGACTTTAAGCAGCCTTTGCGTCTGATCCGAGGCGGTATTTCGTCCTCCCTCAACGGGCATTTGGTCTTTGGACCTTCCTTTAACATGCCTTTGTTACGGAGTGCGATTATCGGCCTTAGTTTGGGAGCAGTATTGTCTCAAAGTTGATGAAAACAGTAAAAAATGCCTTTGAATGCCATTTTGATCCACTTTGAGACAATACTGCTCCCAAACTAAGGCCGATAATCGCACTCCGTAACAAAGGCATGCTAAAGGAAGGTCCAAAGACCAAATGCCCGCTGAGGGAGGGTGAAATACCGCCTCGGATCAGACGCAGTTGCTGCTTAAAGTCGGCCTAAAACACGAGTTTTCAAAGGCATTTTCGACCGTTTCGAACAATTCTGCCAGCCGGGAAACAGCCGCGACCCCAGGCGACCCCAACCACCTCGCCGCGACCCTTCGAAATTTTTTCGCGACCCCATTTGGGGTCGCGACCCCAAGGTAGGGAACCGCTGGCATAGACTGAGATTCGCAATGCACACTGGGACATTTCGCTCAAAGAACTTGCGCAAACACTGGGTGGCGGCGCATTGGCCTGCACTTTTCAAAACTGATTCCTAAGCCAAATCAGAGTGCGTCAGTCTGGCCTGGTCTGGCCAGATAAGAAGCCAGCCAGATCACCCGATCTGGCAGTCGGAGATACGTCGGGCAGGCAATCCAATAAAAGGAGAGAGAGAGAGAGAGAGAGAGAGAGAGAGAGAGAGAGAGAGAGAGAGAGAGAGAGAGAGAGAGAGAGAGAGAGAGAGAGAGAAAGAAAGAGAGACGGAGAGAGCGTGTGCGAAAACAAGAGGGGTACTCGAAAGTACGTGAGTCACCATGAGTGGCTCTACACAAGTTGCAAAAAGTGAGGAGCCTGCAAAAAAATACTTCTTTGTGCCTTTTGAGCGCTTTTCTTTTTTGGCAGATTTTTGTTGGTTAGGTTAGGTAAGGTTAGGTCACCTACAGGTGCAGATCGTCTACTGAAGATAGATATATCGTAATGAGACGATTTGCTTGCAGATGTCGTGGCTCGCACCGCTCACCCAGACGGAGCTGTGGACGTCGGCGGACGGCTGCTCCGCCGCCTCCATCTTCACCACCTTGCTGATGACCGTGGTGGCCAAGGGGATGCGCGAGGCGCGCGCCAAGGCGGCCCGGACGCGCGACATCGTCAGCGTCAGTAACTTTGCCTTTGCTTGTTTTTGTCTTATCAGTCAAGTGTTGGCATGTGTTGGCATCACTCATGTGTTGGCATCACTCATGTGTTGGCACATGAGTGGGTACGAAAATACCACATTGCGTCAGTGGTCAGTGTGTCTCAAGGCACAGTGGATTTGCCGGAAGACCGGTCGCTAAATGGGTCTCGAGCCGAACGTGTGACCCCACCAACGAATTGCTCTCCGAACGAGGAATCCATTGGTGGGGTCACACGTTCGGTTCGAGTCCTGTCTAGCGACTCTGGAGCTCAAAACGCGTCAAGAGTCTTAGCCGCCGGCGCGGTCTTCTGACCCACTGTGGTTTGCGCTCCGTTTCTGCTTCCCCCAAGGCTCACGGTCGATTTTCTTCCTTCAGGGCGAGTTCGACTTTGTGGTGGTCGGCGGCGGGAGCGCAGGGTGTGTGGTGGCCAGTCGCCTCTCGGAGAACCCCAACTGGAGGGTGCTGCTGCTGGAGGCCGGTTCGGAGGAAACAGAGCTCAACATCGTCCCCGCCTTCTACAACAGGTACAGCACAGCCGGCAACACTCACTTCTCGGTGGTGGATGCTGAGCAGGCCTGAGGGAGGAGCACAGTGTGGCTAGCCTACCCTTCAGGTAGTTTTCGTCCAGCAAAAGGAGTGACCACACCCCCTCCCACAGCTACCTGCGCGACCCCTTCTTCGACTGGCACTACACGACGCAGAGGAGCGGCTGGGACTCGGGCCAGTTCATCCCCCGCGGCAAGGGCATGGGCGGCTGCAGCGCCGTCAACGCTCTGCACTTCACTCGCGGCGACCGGTACGACTTCGACAACTGGGAGAAGCTGGGCAACAAAGGCTGGGGCTACAAGGACGTGCTGCCTTTCTTCAAGAAGTCGGAGAACATGCGCGACGCGGCCATCGCCCAGGACACCCAGTACCACTCCACCGGCGGACCGCAGGTGAGCGCAGCAGTTGTTGTTTTGAAGAGTGAGACGTTTGAACTGAGAGAGTAACGAGTGAACTTGTTCCACCAGGACACTGAGTCGGACCGCTTCTCCGACCCCAACATCGAGCGGTACTTGCAGGCCTTCCAGGAGCTCGGCTACACCATGACCAAAGACATCAACGGCGAGCAGCACCTCGGCCTCTCCAAGGTAGGCATGGTGCTCAGGACGAAGCGCCCATTTCGGCCGAACCCCGCATAAGTCGGTCGGGGTGGACTTTGCTGTCTCCACACTGTAACCGCCACGTCGTGCACGTCGTGTTGCAGCCCCCATCCTCGGCGGCGGGCGGCGAGCGGCGCAGCACCAACCGCGCCTTCCTGCCCGCCTCCGTGCGCGCGCGCAAGAACCTGGTGGTGCAGACGCAGGCCTTCGTCAGGAGGGTCGTGGTGTCCAGCGGGCGCGCCGTCGGCGTGGAGTACGACGGCCCCGAGGGCGTCCGCACGGCGCGCGCCACCAAGGAGGTCATCGTGTCCGCCGGCTCCTACAACTCGCCCCAGGTAGGCGTCGGTCCCGGTGTGCGGGACTCGGCCACAGTCGGCTAAATGGGACTCGAACCGAACGTGTGACCCCATCACTAGATCGCTTTCCGAACGAGGAATCCATTGGTGGGGTCACACGTTCGGTTCGAGTCCCATTTAGCGACTCTGGAGCTCAAAACGCGTCTAGAGTTTTGGCCGCCTCCACCAGTCTTCTGGCCCACTGTCGCTCCTCCTCTCCACGAAGCAAGCCTCGGCGTCGTCTGACTCTCGTTGTGCTGTTTGTGCTCGCAGGCCAGCCTCTTCATGCGGTCCTCGCAGCAGCCCGCCGACGACCCGCGGCCCGACATCCAGATCGCCATCGGCGCCACCCACGCCGACAGCGAGCCCAACCCCAAGTGCGCCTCGGACGAGACGGCCGGCACCTTCTTCAACCAGATGCACGGCATCGTCAACAACCTGCGCCCCAAGAGCCGCGGCGAGGTGAGAGACAGACAGACAGACTTGCGGTGCGGACACTCGAGTCTGAGGACTTGAGCTCAAGCAGCGGCACAGTCACACCCCGCGCACTTGACGTCGGCAGAGGCGCGAGCGGTAGCGCCTCTGAGTCTGACGTCCGGCGGTCTGACTCGGCATTACTGGCGCGGACTAGAGTCCTGCCCGCCAGCCTGCCCGCCAGCCTGCCCGCCAGGCTCGGCCCACCAAAATCCGGCATTTCAACACCGAATTCTTCCCGCAGATCCGACTCGACCCCCAGAACCCCTACGGCGCCCCGCTCATCTTCCACCGAGTGTTCTCCATCGAGGACGACCTGAAGCCCGTCATCGAGGGCCACCAGCTGCTCGTCAAGCTCGACGAGACCTCCCAGGTGTTCAAGGACAACGGCATCAAGCTGCACGTCGAGGTGCCCGACGCGTGCGCCAGCCTGACGTTCAACAGCGACGCGTTCTGGAGGTGCGCGTTCCAGGGCCTGGGCAAGAGCAACGGCCACCCCACCTCCAGCTGCAGCATGGGCCCCGACTCCGACCCCCTGGCCGTCGTCAATGAGCGCCTGCAGGTGCGCGGCGTGGCCAACCTCCGCGTCGTGGACGCGTCCATCATGCCCGAGGCCACCACGGCCAACACCAACGCGGCCGCCGTCATGATCGGGGAGAAGGGCGCGGCGCACATCGCGGAGGACTGGACCAAGCCCGTCGACCCCACTGCCGCCCCCACTGCCCGCCCCACGGCCCGCCCCACGGCCCGCCCCACCGCCGCCCCCGCCCCCGGCACCACCTCCCTCCCCAGCTCCGCCTCCACGGCCACGGCTGCCCTGTTCCCGGCACTGCTCTGGGCCGCGGTGGCGCTCGCCCGAAACTACTAGGCATCATCTGGAACCGACTACTGAACCACGGCACAACCTCCAAGACTCTATGTAATTTATTATTTCGACTTATTTATTTATTTTGTTTGTTATTCTATGACATGTTTGATCGCAGTCAATAAACCATCGAATAACAGCTGACCGGCCAATTTTTGACAGTCCTGCCAAAGGAGGGTGGACACGAACCCTGGGGGCACACTGCGCTTTTGACGCACACTGTACGCAATACGCCCAAAAGCATTGCCGTTTACGCGCATTGTAAAGCAAGGAGGGAAGTCCTGTGATGTGCCTCCGGGCGGGGCCGCACGCGTAATACTCAATGTGTGTGTCAGAGGAGCCTAAAATGGATCTAAAATGGGCATGGCTCTTCAACAACAAAGTGATAGAGTGTTCGATTACTCTGGCAGACTGGCTACTTCTATTTCGCGCTGTCATTCTCAATTTATCTCTTTTTCACGTCACGATTGTCGATTACGGACAGCTTTTAATACTCCCTTTTTTATCGAATCGCTCACATTATTGTCTCAAAATCAAAGGGAACGGCACGCGAAGCTCAAGAAAAACCTTCCTGATTCCAACAGCTCTTCGCACTGCCGCGCCGAGGCCGACGACACCAGCAGACTGGTTCGTCGCTCTGTCTCCCTCGCTCCTTTCGGGGGGACGCCTCGATCGTTTACTTTTCCTCGAATCGGAACCGCACCGCAGTACTGCACAGTGTGCATGACACGTTTCTCACTGAGATCCAGCTTCCCGTTACCTACGCGTGCAAAGTCGCGCGGTGCGACGCGACTTTGGCGGCAGAGAGCTCGCCGTGGCGCACCGATTGGCTGGGTCCGCGGGGCACAGTGGGCCAGAAGACCGGTGGAGGCGGTCAAAACTCAAAACGCTTTTTGAGCTCCAGAGTTGCTTAATGGGACTCGAACCGAACGTGTGACCCCACGAATGGATTGCTCTCCGAACGAGGAATCCATTGGTGGGGTCACACGTTCACTACGCGTCCTCTTTAGCGACTCTGGAGCTCAAACCGCAGAGTTTTGGCCGCCTGCGCCGGTCTTCTGGCCCACTGTGCGTGGCCCAGCCGCTGCCAGCGGCCCAGCTGTCTTCCCTCTTCTCTTCCCAGTCTTCCCTCTACTCGCTGCCTTGCCGCTCCCGCTTCCCGCTCCCTCCCAGTCCAGTCCAGTCGACGCCGAGATGCCGCCACGCGCGGTCACCGAGCGGCCCGCTGCCCCGCGGCGGCGCGCTGCGCCCGGCGTCAACACATCGCTGCTGGCGTGCTGCGCGTGCTTCCCGACGTGCTTGTTGTTGTTCCTCGCGTCCGCGTCCGTCGTGACCGTGGCGGCCCAGGACGTCGACGTGCCCGTCCCCACCTTCGAGGCCTTCCACCCCAAAGGCCTGCGCGTCTCCATTCCAGGTAGGCCGAACAGTTCCGGACTTCCAGACCGCCATGGCGCGCCAGGGAGCACAACAACAATAACAAAATTCTAAACAAAAACAAGTGCACCGACTCGGACCGTGCCCCTCCTTGTTGTTGTTGTTCTTATGAACCTTGATAGGTGCCCGTCGAGCGGCTAGCGGTCCGGGCGCGCGAACGACCCCAAACAGTGTCTCCGGCCGGACGGCAGCACACGGCAGTCGGGAAGAAGAAATTGGCGGTGAATCAGCGATTGCTCCGGGATCTTCCTCCGGGGTTGACCGGTGCAGTGGTCGACGTCGATGCCCTGCGCCGTCACGAACAGCACCGTCACGGTCACGGCCCGGACGGCGACGACGCCACGGCGCCACCGTCCGAGGGGAAACCGGTTCGGCCGGCACTCCTTGAAGAAGACGACCGTCTTGGACGCCGCTGACGTCCCCGCCGTGCGACACAGACTCCCAGACACGCTGGCTGGCGCCTCACCCCGGGCCGGCCGCCGCCACGCACAGTGGGCCAGAAGACCGTTGGAGGCGGCGGCCAAAATCCCGGACGCGTCAGAGTCGCTAAATGGGACTCGAACAGAACGTGTGACCCCCCAATGGATTGCGCTGCGGACGAGGAATCCATTGGTGGGGTCACACGTTCGATTCGAGTCCTGTATAGCGACTCTGGAGCTCAAAACGCGTCTAGAGTTTTAGCCGCCTCCACCGGTCTTCTGGCAAATCCACTGTGCCATGGTCCGCCAGACGGTCGACGGCATCCCCGGCCTAGAGGGCCAGGCCGCTCACTCGCTCCCCGCGCGGGTTTCCCGTGGGCTCTTCCGGATTCCGCGGTGATGCTGCAGCGCCCCCGTCGCTCTGTCTCTCTCGCACCCACGCGGAGCCGCGCGGAGCGAACCAAGAGTGCGAGAGAGACAGCACTGCGCCGGGCCGGGCCGGGCCGTGTGTGGGGAAGCAATCCCCGAGTCGCGCGCGCTCTCTGGAGGCGCCGAATGTGTGAAGTCGGCCAGCAAATACCAGTCCGACGCGCCACTGGACACTGATTCAGAGAGTCTGTCTCTGTCGCACCTATACGCCACGCCCCATGAGTGCGAGGGGGACAGAGCGACGACTCTCGGAATCAGCCTGCTGTACAACCGCACCGCGGGCCTTGACGTCAACAGTCAACACGCCGTCGTACAGGTTTCCCGAAAAGGCTCCGCCGAGGAAGCTGCCGCTGCAAACCTGGGCGAACTTATTCTAGGACGGGGCGGGGGGAATCCAGGGGAATCGGGAAGCGAGACAACGAATGCTGGACGCCCAGGCCGAGGAAACTGGCCGAGCCCGGCCAGCAGCGGAATCGTACGGCGGATATTTATTGGGCTGACGAGCTGAGCTGTTCGAGCAGTTCCACTGACCCAATTAGTGACCCGAAACAGCAGAGCCGAGCCGTTTTCCTTGCTTTTCTTATTCTGTCGCCGATTGCCGCGTCGACGCGATGTTCGCCGGCAGATAGTACGCGAGGGAAGGCCCAGGCGTGTTATTTTTATTTCTTTCTCAAGTTTGTCCGCGGCACTGCTCTCTTGCGCCGTGTCTTGCCTCCAGCTGATTACCGCGGCACTCGAGTCGCACAATCGAGTGGCGGCGTCCGTCCGAGATAGCGAGACTCTCCTCGCGAGCACCTGCTCTGTGTCTCTCGCACTCGCGGGGCGCCCCGTACGGAGCACAGTGGGCCAGAAGACCGGTCAGAAGAAGGCAGCGGCGAGGCGCCTCTCGGACGACTGCACTGCCGGGCGCACGTTCCTTTTGTTGCCTTTTTTGGAGGTGCCAGCCTGCCCCTGCCAGGCCATGGCAGGCCATGGCAGGCCATGCATGGCCAGGCGGACGTCTGGCCGTGCGAGGACCGCCGCGGGGCCTGCCTTAAATTACATTTGCATTTAGCATGGGAGACTCTCACGCTCTATCCACGCCAAGGAGGGCCAGGGGGGAGGGGCCTAGTGGCACTGGATGGATATATCTCGTGTCATTTCGGGACGGCCCCTAAGTATAGTAGGCGCGCCGGTGATTCCGCGCACCGTTTAGCTCGACTCGCGGAAAAGCACGCGGCCGCGACCCGGCGAGTGCGGCTACGCGTAGGAACGGTTGCCTACCCGCCCGGCGTGGGACCGCACAGTGGGCCAGAAGACAGGTGGAGGCGAGGCGGTCATAATCCCAGACGCGTTTCGAGCTCCAGAGTCGCTAAATGGGACTCGAACCGAACGTGTGACCCCACCAATGGATTGCTCTCCGAACGAGGAATCCGTTGGTGGGGTCACATCTTCGGTTCGAGTCCTGTGTAGCGACTCTAGAGCTCGAAACGCGTCTGGAGTTTTGGCCGCCGGCGCCGGTGGTCCTCTGGCCCACTGTGGACCGGAATGGTTGCCTACTCGGCCGGCGCCGGCGTTTTATCTCCACGCGCAGACGAACGGCCGTGACCCTGAGTGCGTTGCGTCACCGCTCCTCTCTCCGGGGAAGTCCCCCTTCCTCCCGGCCGGGGACTAGAGCCACGCACAGTGGGCCAGAAGACCGGTGGAGGCGGACAAAACTCTGGACGCGTTTTGAGCTCCAGAGTCGCTCAACAGGCCTCGAAACGAACGTGTGACCCCACCAATGGAGTCTTCGTTCGGTGAGCAATCCATTGGTGGGGTCACACGTTCGGTTCGAGTCCCATTTAGCGACTCTGGAGCTCAAAACGCGTCTAGAGTTTTGTCCGCCTCCTCCGACCTCTGACCCACTGTGCCACGTCCTGCCACCGTCTCGGGAATCCTGGTCGCGCTCCGCTACGCGCCGCTCGGCGCTCCGTCTCTGAGAGACCCGTTTGGTTTGCAGACATCGACGGCCTGGAGATCTTCGCCTTCCACGGCAACGTCAACAAGCCGCTGCACAACCTGGAGGCGGGCGAGATGTCCGTGGACGTGACCGCCAAGAAGGCGGGCCGCTGGGAGTACTTCAACGAGAACCGGCGCCTCAAGGCGGGGGACGTCATCAACTACTGGGTCTGGATCCAGGTGGACCGCAAGGGCTACCAGCGGCTCGGCCTCAGCCACCGCATCACAGGTACGTCAGCGCGAAGCTCTGCTTTCGTCGCTCTGTCTCTCTCGCACTCATGAGGCGTCCCGCGAGGGTGCGAGAGAGACAGAGTGACAGCGCTCACGATCAGCCCACCGGACCTCAGGTCGTCCTTCGGCCGCGGCCTCTTGGCGGGCCGAATGACCAAAGCGTCATTTCCTAACTCTCACTTTCTGGTTTTTCTAGAACTGGTGCCACTGGGAGTCGACTCACAGTCGAACGGTAAGACTTTGTTCTCGGCGTGCATGTCTTTTTCCACTGCCGCAGCAACAGACCACACACGGCTCGACTCGATGTGGCGTCGCCCGGCGGCCTGAACGCGAACTAAATCCTGTTGCAGCCCTAAGGCCCGAGGCCCGGCCCGTACTGACTATGAGCCTCGAGGACCTGCTAGAGAGCCTTCAGGGCCAGCAGGGCGGCCAGAGCGGCCAGGGGGCCTCCGACTTGGAGTCCCGCCCCACCCAGCAGACCCAGCTCCAGGAGCAGTACCGCCCTCGTCCTCAGCGTCCTTCCGAGTCCCGCCCTCGTCCTCAGCGTCCTTCCGAGTCCCGCCCTTCCAACCCTTACGACTCGCGGCCGTCGACCGGGGGGTCTTGGTCTCCAGGAGGAGAGTCGACAGAGTACAGACCCCCGCCTGGAGACTACAGACCACCCCCTGGAGACTACAGGCCCCCGCCTGGAGACTACAGACCTCCACCTGGCGACTACAGACCACCTGCAGGTGGCAACCGACCCCCACCTGACGAGTACCGACCACCTGCAGGTGGCAACCGACCCCCACCCGACGAGTACCGGCCCAAGCCCAGCGAGTACAGGCCGCCAGGCAGCCACTACGGAGCCCGGCCGCCTCCGCCCCCAACTTACAACCACGAGTACCCTCCTCCGCCACCCGTCGCCGCCACCGTGGTGCACGTTTCACACGTGCAGCACAACCACCACGTCGGGTTCGCGAGCGGCGAGGACAACCACGGACAAGGCCAGGAGCGGCCGACGAACAACGTCTACCCGTCCCAGCCCAACTACCCCGTGGACCGGCCCACGCAGCCGACGCACCAGGGCCTGGAACGGCCCACGACCGGCCCCACCGACTACGAGCCCACCCTGGCCGCCGTCAGCCCCACCACCTGGTGGCAGGGCGGTTCGAACCAAGGGGGGGACCAGGGGGCGAACCAGGGCGCGGTTCCTGCGGGACTTCCCCTGACGCCGGGTGATCGGGTTTCAGAACCTCCGCCGGCAGCCCGACCGGGCCGACCCACTGGACCCACCCACACCTGCGAACTGTCCGCCACCCACGTGAACGGCAGGCCCGCCTGCAAGGGGGAGGTGGTCTTCGAGGAGAACTGGAACTCCCTGGACCGGCGGAAGTGGTCGCACGAGGTCAAAATATCCGGCAGCCCGGTAAGTCCGAGTCCACGAGGGGGAAGATATCTTCTACCCTTGACCCCCCCCCCTTGCAGTGCAACTTTTTGTTTTGCAGGACTTCGAGTTCTGCATCTACGCGCAGCACCCCGAGAACACGTTCGTCAAGAACGGGTGGCTGCACCTCAAGGCGTCGCTGACCAACGACAAGTACGGAGACGACTTCGTGCGGAAGGGGAACCTGCAGCTGGAAGGGTGAGCAAGTGCAACATTTTACAATTTTTTTAAAATGGGTATTTGAACCCGGGGCTGTGGACTGTAAACAACGCTTTGCAGCTGCACCGCGGGCCCACTCAACTCGGAGAGCTGCAGCAGGGAGGCCATGTTCTCGTACATCCTGCCGCCCGTCGTCGCGTCGCGCCTCACCACCAAGAACAGCTTCAGCTTCAAGTACGGCAAGGTGGAGGTGCGGGCCCGCCTGCCTCGCGGCGACTGGATGTACCCGGGTGAGCCTCGACGAATCTCTAGGGCGGCACACAGTGGGCCAGAAGATCGGTGCAGGCGGCCGAAACTCGAGGCGCGTTTTGAGCTCCAAAGTCGCTGAACAGGACTCGAACCAAACGTGTGACCCCACCAATGGATTGCTCTCCGAACGAGGAATCAATTGGTGGGGTCACACGTTTGGTTCGAGTCCTGTTCAGCGACTTTGGAGCTCAAAACGCGCCTCGAGTTTCGGCCGCCTGCACCGATCTTCTGGCCCACTGTGCATCCTTGCGAGCACGGTGGTGCGCCTGTGAAGTGGCGGGTAGGCAACGCCGCGCGACGGGGGAGTGCAGCGGGCTTGCCTGCCGCCTCCCTCGCGGGCGTCACGTCGTGAGTCGTGACTCGACGACGACGTGGTCGTTGGCGTTGCAGAGGTGTGGCTGCAGCCGCTGCGCGAGGAGTACGGCGCGGGGCTGGCGTCGGGCAGGATTCACCTGGCCATGGCGCGCGGCAACACCAAGCTGCAGGGCCCGGCGCCGGGCCGCCAGGACATCAGCGGCCGCGAGCTGGCGGTCGGGGTGCTCGCCGGCGGCAAGGGCACGGGCTCGGCCGACGCCCGCAAGAAGTTCTTCACCAAGCGCAACGACGTGGGCCACTGGGGCGCCGACTTCCACAACTACTCCCTGCTCTGGACTCCAGGTTCGCACGTTTTCAAACACTCATTTTTACGGGTCAAATTTGACTGCGGTGTGTGCGTGCGCTACCCGTGCTTGCCTCCTAATTATTTTTAATCTCTAAAGATACCTTGGCGTTTTCTGTGGACGGTGTGGAGTTGGGCGTCGCGCGGCCGGAGGAGGTCGGAGGACTTCTCCGCGGCCAGGACAACGAAGGGGACGACCCATGGTCTCACGGGTCAAAGATAGCGCCCTTCGACAAGGAGGTGAGGTGACAGACAAGTCTTCTAGTGTGCAGGTGCATTTTGTATCACGTGCGTTGCGTCATTTGTGTGCTTGTGGTGTGATTTTACCAGTTTTACATCAGCCTTGGACTTGCGGTTGGAGGGATTCACGCCTTCCCTGATGGCTGTCGGAGTGGAAACCATGACAAGCCCTGGAAAAACACAGCTGCTAAGGTAACTGCAAAGATCTCCTGCCCTATTGAACTGAAGCCCTGGGTGGGCAAGGATTTGAAATACTTGGTGTTTTCTTTTGTCTATCCAGGCTATGCTGAGCTTCTGGAATGCTAGGGAGGTGTGGCACTCTACATGGAATGGCCAACAAGCCGAGTTACTGGTCGAATCAGTTCGTGTCACTGCATTAAACAACTAGGACGACCAAAATGTTCTATTTAAAATATCTTTTAAGACTGAAAAATGTGCTCATTAGATAGGTTATGCACCAATGTAGCATGTTTCAATATAATTACTGTACTGCTTTTTGTGACTAGTGTGAGTGGACCAAGAATAGGTAAAAAATGAAACAAAAGGAAAGGGAACTTACAGTATATTTAAACCTCTACTTTTCAGGTTTCAGTCCATTGAAATATTTCGGAAGGTGAGGCATAATTAAAATTGAGTCTGGCTTAAGTCTTGGGCCACATGTAGAAATGCGGAACTCATTAAGATGGTAAACAGGAATGGATGATGTGATACATAGGAATACATGGAATAAAAATGATCTGAGTATACCATAGCAATGAAGAAGACTAATTGCATTTTTGTTCTCTGCTCTCTTGCTCAGTGTTCGCTAATAGACTCAAATTGCAGCCCTGTCTCAAACACTACTCCATGACTTACTCAAGCTCTCAGTTACCACTAGAGAGGATGCGAAAGTCCATTTCTAGTTTCACGCACCGACTAACTTTAGTCTGATAAATAATAATAATGAATATGAATGGTTCATTGTATCTCTGAGTATGCATTGAGGGTACACAATCATTGACAAATCATAACTCCTGCTTGTACTTAAGAATGCATCTTATTCAAACATTCATAAAAACAATCACTTGACCGTACCATGATTAAAATTTTGATGACACACCACTAGGTCACCTTGTGCAATAAATGTAATGTACAGATTTCACTTTCTAATATAATGCTTAAGTTAATTGTTCTTATGCCTCAGGCAGAAAAAATCATCTACAACACAGTTCTAGTAAATTGATGGAAGTTTCCACAAGACGGCCACTAATACTGCCACAAATAAATAAACTACAGATGCACAAGCATTGTGCTAAATTAGAAATGGCAGAATATTAAGTCACATTCAACCACATTAATGGCTTTTGATTCTGTTAAAAATAATTGAAAATTTACGCCCACTTCGACAGGGTGAAAACAACAATAACAAGGCTAAAAGAAAATATTTTGTCTGGTTCAAAAATAAACAACATTAAAATCAAAGTCTGGTCTCATTAGCTGCTCTGAATGATAAGAAACCCAAATAAAAACAGAATAAAATACAATACATCAAAAACAATACATGCTGTTAAAATACAATCACACTGTGAATTGCTTGTAAATTATACCGCTTACACACACATAAATTAACAGTATACTGTATTCACTAATTTGTCTTTCATAATGACACGTACAAGTATCATGGAAATATGTATGAAAATTCTAATGATCCATGCATATGGATAAGGAATGGAATAGGCTATAAAAAAAGATAAAATGACAATGAGAATGGATCTGATTAATTGATGGTGTATGTGAACTTGAGGAAACAAATGGGATATGGCAATCACTGACACCTTCACATCACATGGTTACAGGATGTTGGCCGTAAGTCAATAGGTCATTAATCAATAAAATGAAATGAAGTCCAACTAAAGTGAAAGTTCTTTACACTTACGTTATTCTAAGGAACAATTATAACTGAAAGTTTGGGTTCAATTTGACGAATTCCAGTTCTAAATAAACCTAGTAGGAGGGTTGGGCCCAGATCATGTAATAGAAAGGAAGAAAATTACAAGTCTGTGTCATACCACGCAGCCACCTGGTTGTTGTCTTGGGGAGGCTGGGGAAGTTCATCCAAATGATCGAAGTCGAGGTCAGCAGAGTTCTGGCCCACATCCATGGCATCATCCATGGGTCCGTAAGTGGATCCGCTTCCTCCTGCTCCATGATGGGAGCCGATGTCAAGTCCTTGCAGGGACTCTATGGGTATCGCGTCATACCCTGTTGCAAGAAGGGAACACACAAAATCATATATGAGACCAAGAGAAAGAAGCACACCCTTGGGAATACAAAGAGGGATAAATGGGCATCATTTTTGAAGAGAAACTCAGTACTTCATGCAGTAAACAAAGCCACTATGCTCAAAAGGAAACAGTTACACTTGACTAATAAAAAATAATTGTTGGTACCAAATCAAAAATTACTTTTAGGCCCAAAATAAATAATTCTAATAGCTCACACAACACGCAAAAATTCTAGTATGAAAAAATGTTCTACTGAATAAACAGATTATAAAACACTACTTAAAACCAAGCAAAAATAACTTAGAGAAATATTTGTCTAATTTCTTTCTATCAGAATGGATACAACGCTGCGGCTACAAGGCGAAAGCTAATAGCACACAGTGCACACATGAACTCATGATACCAATATAACTTACTGTCTCTAGGTTAGTTGATTGAGTCTGCAATTATGTAACAGAAAGGGAGTTTCTTAGTTCAACAACTAGTCGACATGAGTTACAGTTGTGGTCTTTGGTGCAATTCGCTCGGGGAAACTAAAGATAGAAATTCCTTACTTTTTTTAATAATATCTGCTACCCAATGGTTTATAAAACACCTTAATATTAATGTGGACCTCTCCCACAGCATTTATCTTTTGGTTTATTGTTGTACTGATCCCTTGCCCCAGTGCCCCAAAGTGTTCTATCCTGCTTGCACCCGTGCAACAAGTGCACCGAGTGCAGTGGTGAAGCACTTACCTGGCTGTTGGTACTGCCTTCCGCCATGGCTGCTGTGCACACTAGGAGGGCCTTGGCCATACAAACCATCATAGTTCTGGACTTGCTCGGGTCCAAGCATGTCCTGCAATTTGAATGGGAGCATAAAGCGATGAAGTACAGAAGCCACTAAAAGTGTGTGATGCCAACTTTCAAACCAAAGACCAGTATTTAAAAAAAGTGCAAATCAACAACTGCAAATTTGCTTTTAAATGCACAGCATTAAGCCACAAAATGGTGCAAGAGTGCTTGACACATGTGCATTGTGCATGAAACATGTATTTATGAAGTTACAGTACAATGAAAAAAATTGAAGTGGAAACATTCCTTTAGTTTTGTTAACTAAAATATTTAAAAAGGAACAGGAAACTGTCATTTTTAAGTTAATTGGAAAGTGAAAATCAGCAAAGTCACAGCACTGCTAACACTACAGAAGAGGAGGTAAACTCCTTCGCGATCATGCAGCATATCAAAATATGTATTTGTATGCTATCAAATAAAGAAAGAACAATGTGCTGTCAAAATTAAAGTAACAAAACACAAAAAATTGTAACACAACTTTTAAGTTGTGACTACTACTTTAAAAGACAAACCAACACTACTTTTGCTAGTTTCAGTCACAGCTAATCCAATTGTAAAAAATGATAGGGAGTTGCATTTCTAACATTTCAAATATTGTGACAAAATGCCAAGTATGATAACTACCTGAACAAAATAAATGAAAATATTTAAATACCTGCAATTCTGGAGTCATGCCCAAGTCACCATTCCACATGTTCTGATCTTCTCTGAAGAGAGAATTCGTCAGTTCCATGGAAAGACGCTTCTTGTAATCTTGGGGTTTGTCTTCCGACATGCGGAAGAGCACAGCCGCAGCATATGTGGCTGCAATGATACATGGGTTCATTATGCACTGTATGTAATTAAGTGTTTGAACAATGAAATGGAAAGCTTGCTTCACTTACCAACTCCCTCATTCTGAGAGTGTAACAGTTCTGTCAAGGGAGATGTGGCTCCCTCCTGTTCAATCAGCTCAGCCCCCTCCTTGTCTGCTGCAAGCTCACAGAGAACACCTGCAGCAACTCTCTGGATGTTTTCGATCTCATTAAAGAGCAGCTGAACAAATATGGGGACCACCATCTGATTGCGAATCACTGTGCGATTATGCGATTCACGGGCTAAAATGTGCAAAGCTCCAACTGTGCCTTCCACAATTTCCTCCATTCTAACCCCTTCTGCATAAGCGCCAGGCGGCTGACTTCCACTGCTGGCTACCGAGGATCTCTGAAAAAATGTAAATGACAAGTGAAAATAAATTCATTTAAAGCACTATAAATTGCGAATGAAAACTTAACACTTACCCTTTGAGTATCCTGGAACGCTCGCATCAGAAGGCGAACCAAATGGTGAATAGCTCCATGTTCTCGGAGAGGGGTGTGGTTGGCAGCACACAAAGCAAGGTTCCGGATCAGACCGATGACAGCCTTCACCAGAGGCCACCTTGAAGGAGGGTGAAGCAGCTTCACAATCACCTGAATGCCGTAGTTCATGCGCACAGCATTCTGAGCCATCTCGGACTCAACATGGCGAGATGTCAAGTGTCGGAGAGCACAAACCTACCCAAGGGAAAAAGACAAAAAAGTGTACGTGTATTATATTTAAGTCATGGAAAATTTAGAAGAGAAGGCCAAGCTCTGCTGGATGACTTACCGCTGGCTCAGTGATCTCCTCTCGATCTCCAGCAGACATAATTGTGCGCACTAATGCTTCAACTCCTCCCACTTGGCAAACTGTAACTTTGTTGCGTTGGTTGTTGCAAGTCAGGTTAGAAAGAATTCCAGCGGCACACGTCACAACATTGGCATCAGAGGATCCCAACAAGGTTACAAGACTTTGCAAGAGTCCTTCCAAGCCATCCTGCAGAAAGTTCATTAAATTAAAACCCATGTATCTTCTTCAAGCAGATTCACAGAATTGCATTTAACTTCTACTTACAACTTTAGTTCCAGCATCGGACAAATTACGCAGGGTCCACAAGCAGTTCTGCACCAAACGCTGGCTTGAATGTCCAAGGTGCATGGCTAGAGCTTGCATACCACCAGCCTCAACAATGGCGGGCTTGTTGCTTGAGCACACAGACAGGACTGTAACGTAAAACAAGGAATATGAAACACTGACTTTTAATTACAGTGTATCATGCCCAACTAAAAGAACCTGAATAGCTTACCCTTCAATACACGGGAGGTGGTCCAAAGCAGCTTTTCATAATCATATGAGCGCATGATCCGGACAAGCTCAACTGGTCCTTGGCTTGCAAGGACAATCAGCTTAGACTCCTGGTTGCCATATGCCAAAATTTGAAGACAATCAGTGACGATAGCCAGGAATTTCACATTGTTGCGCTGGAGCAGAGCAACCATCTTCTGCAGACCACCAGCAAGGCGAACGGCCATCTTAGAGCCCTCTTGGTGCAGGAGCAGGTTGTGCAGGGTGGTGATGGCGTAAAAGAGCACAGATTCCACAGGGGAGCTAGAAATAGATGGAAACAAAATTAATTTAAAGTCATAATAAGCAGAGACTACTGATTTTGATTGACCGCGAAAACTCACCTCAAGAGCTTCACAAGGGCTGGGATGCCGCCACTTTTAAAGATGGCTAACAAACCCTGGCGATGGTGGGACAAATTGTGCAGGGTACCCACAGCAGCTTTTGTGCTTTCCAAATCATTGCTGTTCGAAATGGCCCGGACCAATGCTTGCACCATTTGAGGGCTGTTCATGAGGGCATGGCGAGATGCCTCCTTCTTGGATAGCTGGTGCACCATCATGGCAGCTTGAGAAACAACCACTTGATCCTCATCATTCAACAGTTTGATCAACTCAGGGATGGCCCGAGTAGCCAAATCTGCATCATCCTGGTAGTTGATGAGGTTCACAACAGCGTGCTTAAGCATCTGACTGGGCTCAGAGAGACGCTGAACAGCTGTAGGCTGTGCTTGATCAAATTGGGTGGATGGAATTTCAATACCCTCCTCCAATGTTTCAGGGAACATAGCAGCTCGAACCCTGTGTGAACGGGTCTGGCTCAGCTGATGGTTCATTTCTAGAAAAAAGCACAAACAGAAGAATATTTAAGAAATTCTTACTGCATTAAAAGGGCAAAGCATTCCATATTCTAGACTTACCATCAACCTGCTCCTGGGTAAACCCTTGGGGAAAGCCTTGATCCAGATCAAACATGAGCTGATCTCCTTCCATATCATCCTCCTTGCCAGTAAGGGAAGGAGCTTGGGTTGTAACTCCGGAATGAATTCCAGAGTCACCCATGTAGTTATTCTGTTGCCACATCATGGTTTGCTCTTTAACTGAGCCAACCGGCAAGTCGCCAGGCCCTCCCTGATAATGGCCTTGCGACACTAGAGGAAAAAGAGCAAACAAAGTGAGCATCTACAGAAACATTTCAAATAATTAGCGTTGGCAAAATTTTGAAGGGAACTTACTTGGCCGCGATTGCGGCTGCTGCATGTAGCTCATGGCTGCACGGATGGTAAAAACCACTCCTGAAACAAAATTTAAAAATAAGATAAACACTAAATTTTTAGAGATGTCCGGAGCATAACTCTAACATATGAACTCGGTGCAAATCTTCCACGAAGTTTACGATTATTACTGATGAAAAAACATTCATAAATATGTTATATCAGTTGCGATATATAAATCAAAAGGAAAACTAATTGAAAGTCGAGTAGATACTCATAATATTTGAAAGAAGGCAATTAATGAGAGCTACTTAACCTTCAAGAAACAAAAACAAAGAAAAATTCTCTCCAAATTAATAATTTTTCAAAAATAATTTTGAAAATCAGTAACAAAAACATTCAAAAGTCTTTTGCCGAAAATATTTGACAAGGAATGCGATACTTCAACCTAACTGTCTGCCTGGCCCAGATTACAAGCTACACCTAACCTTACAAAGAATGCCAAACACTGGTATGAATAAATAAATTTCACTTCCAGCGAACACTCACAATTTATTCTAATGAGTTCTAGAACTGTGCACAAAAATGAGTAGGTTTACACAGTGAAGGCTCATTTCCCCCGAGAAAGGAATTTCGAGTGAGTCAGAGCTGCTGTGGAAGACAGGTGAATCAGTCTCCAGTGTTGTGGCTGCTGGGACGAACTACTTCAGTCCGACGCAAAATAATCCGGTAAGTGAGCTCAAAACACCAGTAAGGAAATACTGGACAACCGCAAAGCACGCGAAAAGCTTTACTCTCAGTAATGCAGGACAAGAAAAGTGTCTTTCTTCAGTATTCTTTTCAGGCGACAGTTCAAGATGGCACTCCACACCACACCCTGCTCCAAGGCTTTTATCTCACTTCCTGGGCCGCACCTGGCGGTGCAACGACTCGCAGCCAATGCCCGTGCACTTCTGCCACTAATTTCAACACTCACCGCCAACCAGTTGAAACTACACCCCGATTTTTCAGTCAAAAACTTCGTCCCGCGGAGGACGGACGTGCTATCCGATCGATTTATGGCGTATACAACAACACATAGAGGGCTGGAAAGTAGAGCCGGTGTGCGTCCGCCGCAACTAGTCCCGGAAAACTCGGCCAAAGCGGCGAAAACGAAAAAGCAGCACGGTGCGCTTTTGGGCGCAAAGCGTGGCGCGCCGCGGGGCCAAAGTTTTTCGCCGGAGGTAAACAAGCCGTCCTTTGATCTTTTGCGAGTTGGAGGCGTGCAATGCTGCCTGCCAGGCGAAGCCAGGCTGGTCCAGGACTCGGCTCGGCGTGTGTCCTTCCGCGCGGCGCTGAGAACGCCGACCCGTGCCGCCCCCACCCCCTCGCCCCACCCCCTCCCTCCCCCTCCTCGGAATGCAAAGGAAGAAAAAGGTCCTTTGCTCTGCAGGGTTGCCACATCGAGCGAGGTGCTGGTTGCTGGTGCACAGCTTCGGGGCGGCGGGGCATGTCCTGGGGGTTCGGGGCGTGTAGGGCGTGGAGGTGTGAAGCGGCGTGCATCTGCTGCGGCGCAGTGCAGCGTGGCCGATGCCCTTCCGATGCACTTGCGTTAGATCACGCTGAGGGGGGGGGGGGGGGGGGAAGGACCGGACCCCTGGAGAGGGGCAGGGGGTGGGGGCTGCCTCTGCGTCGCGGCCGTCCAGGGCAAAATCACCCCCAAGTACAAGTACTATCCAAGTTGTCCGGCTGTCCCACTGCGAAAATGCAGCGACTCTCGACATTTTAGCGGTGTACGGCCACTGTCCGTGGGGGTGCGGGTGGGTGGGTGAGCGCCCCACCTGTGCATTGCGTTGTTTGTTCCGCTCCCCTTGTAGTGTAGTGGGAATCGCGGCGTAAAACAAAGATGGGGCGACATCGATTGCTTCGAGTTGGCCGAGCCTCGTGCTGCACCGCCGCTTGTCCCTTGGACTGTCCTTGCCGGGGGGATTTATCGCCAGGGCGCCCCGCGGGACACGGTGACACGACACGGACACGGCGACACGTCACGCAGTGGGCCAGAAGACCGGTGGAGGCGGCCAAAACTCTAGACGCGTTTTGAGCTCCAGAGTCGCTAAACAGGACTCGAACCGAATGTGAGACCCCACCAATGGATTCCTCGTTCGGAGAGCAATCTATTGGTGGGGTCACACGTTCGGTTCGAGTCCCATTTAGCGACTCTGGAGCTCAAAACGCGTCTAGAGTTTTTTCCGCCTCCACCGGCCCACTGTGCGGAGTACGGGAGGCGGCGGGGAGTGACGCGTCGCGTGACCTAGTGACGCTTTGATACGTCACGGGGCGCAGTGATACTTCCGTAAAGGCGCGGCCGAGTGGGCTAGCCGGCTAGCCTATCGGGTTGCCTTACGGGTTGCCTAACTGCGCCTGTTCCGCGCGAACCGGGGGGGGGGGGGCTTGAGGCGCGTCCGGCCTGGGCCAGCACTTCCACCACTTCCGGTGTCCGGGGCCCATCAAGCAACGAGGACCGCCCAGAGGAGTCAGCGTAAGTGTTGCCGGTTGCCTCAGTTCGATCGTTATTGTGGTTTGGGCCGATTCCAACAGTCGCTCTGTCTCTCTCGCACTCGTGGGGCGTGCCCGCCGTGCCCGCTGTGCCGTGGGAGTGCGAGAGAGACGGACTGGGCGGTGCTGCTGTCGAGCAAGGGCAGCGGCGTAACGCACACGCCCCACGCCCTCGCGAAGGAAGTTAGCGAGGCGAGACGCCGCACGCCGCGCCTCGACGAAAACGCGCGGACGCGGAGCCGGGGCTCGAACCCGCTACCTTTCGTCGCTCCGTCTCTCTCGCATCCATACGGGACGCCTGGGAGTGCGAGAGAGACAGAGCGACGAAAACGACAGTCTGCAGCGGCCTGGTCCGTGGCCTAGTTGTGGCAACAGTGCGATCACTGCGGATGACCCGCACCTTTTGTGGCTCGACGAGTCGGAGAAGAAAGACGGCCGCTCCTTGCCTCGATTCCTGACAATGCCTCGTCACTCTGTCTCTCTCACGCCCTGACGAACGCCCCATGAGTGCGAGAGAGACAGAGCGACGAAAGCTCTGTTCTGAATCAGCCTGCCGCAGGATTTGGTCATTCACCTGGAAAACGCGGGTCTGTGTGCAAACGCTAATCGTCCGCTTACAATCAGCCCGCCTTCCCTGGCCAGCAGCATGCCTCGGCGCGTCGAATGGGTTGCCTACCTCGCGCCCGGTCCAGCGGCCAGTGTCCGGCCGCCGGGAGGGTAGGCCACCCCTTCGGCGTGAAATGCGCGCGAAACGACGCTCGGATTCGAACGAGGCGCTGTCTCTGTCCGACGGGCCGACGCTGCATGCGGCTATAATGTAGCCGTAAGCGGGTTCAAGTCATATCTCAGGCCTCACCGCAGGCCGCAGGGTTGTGCCGGCACCATCATGGAGGCACCACGGAGGCACCGCGGGCCGCGCCGCTGCCTCACTCGCACTCGTGGCGCGTCGCGTGTGGGTGCGAGAGAGACAGAGCGCGGGGCCGTAAGGGGCCGGGCACGGCAGGGCCCCCGCGGGGTCGCACTCGGCCCGTGGAGGGGCGCTTGAGAAATGACCTCGGCGACGGACAGAAATATGAGCCGGGCTGCGGGGGATGCATGTGACTCACAGTGTGAGAGCATGTTCACATAAACAATAAGGCCGTTGGTGATACCGTGAGGCGTGTGCTTCCGTAGTCCGCCGTGTAGATGGCGCGGCGACACTTGAGTAACACGTCCAGGGCAGCTCCGTACTCCAAGGCGTACTCCGTGCACTCCGTGCCAGACACTGGGCAACACCGGGCTGCCTGCCGGGCCGGGCCACCGCCGCCGGGCCGGGTAGGGTGACTTGACTTAGTGCCGCGGGCACCCCGCCCACCATCAAGACATGCCATAACCTCGCCTGTCTCGACTGTCTTGCCTGTCTCCAGGGCCGGCGGGGCCGCGTGCCGCCGAGCAAAACAACGCCGTCTGCTTGGTGTGTCTGGCGCGCTCCGATTCCGCGACGCGTTGTCATTGTCACTAACGCATTCCCTCGGTGCACCAGTGTCGCTAGGGTTGCCAACCTCTGCCGTGCCTACCAGGCCACTCCCTGAGAGCAAAGCCCAGATATTGCCTAGCAGGAAGGCTGAGGTTGGCAACCCTTTCCAGCACCTTTTGCGACGTGATGATTTTTGCAGGTGGGTTCATACGTGAAACGGAACGGAAGGCGTGAGAACGACGTAAAACAAGGCGTTACAAAATCAGTCTTTAATGATCCAGCTTTCTCATTGAGACTTTGACTCAGGCGTTGACGACCACGATGCCGCCGTCGATGTCCTCCAGCTGCACGTACACGACGTCCTGCGCCGCGTCGGGGTCCGTCACCACCAGGGGGAACAGTTCGCTGTCCAGCAGCGCCTGAGAGGGCAGAGAAAAAGCTCATTTGCAATAACAGGTTTCGTTCACCGTTGGCGAGTAGTATAGAAAGGTGTTCATAGCAGGTAAAATACTAGTCATCTCTTATTTGACCTCGGCTGCTTTAGGATATGTGCCATCCGAGAAACAAAATCGAAGGCAACCCGAGGGTGCGAGTTGGAACCTCTAACTCGAACTGAAGGCAAACTTACGTGCTTGGGCAGGAGCGAGGTGGGCAGGTCCTCCTCGACCGAGGGCATGGCGATCACGGACATCGAAGGATCCGCGGGCCCCAAGCCCAGGTCAAGGACGGCTTCGGTCGCGCCGACGCCCTGCTTCGCGTCCTTGCAGTCCTTCCGGCGTTTACTGCTGAAACCAGTTTATGCCACATAAGTAGGCGAACATTCCCACAATGCGATGAAGGGCTGCCTCAGCCTGACTCGAACCGATCGTCCGCCTGCGCCGGTCTTCTGGGCCACAAGACCCGTGTTCTCACCGTGCCGTCTTGGCCCGGGCGCCGCCACTCTGGACATGACCCTCCACGACGCCGTCAGCGACGGTCCCGGACACGGGGGTCTCGGACACGACGGCCGCCGTGTCGGCCTCCTTGTCGTAGATGCCGGCGACGAAGGACGCGGCGGACGCGGCGCTCCGGAACACGTCGCCGTGCTCGCTGGCGAGGTGGCCCCGGAACTCCGTCGCCAGGTTGGTGGCGAAGGCGCCGGCGCCAGCCTCGGCGCAGAAGCGGCACTCGTACATGCTCTTGCCGGGGTGCTTGTTGGTCTGCAGGACGTGCTTGCGCAGGTTTTCCTGGACCATATCAAACGTCAAGGCGTAAATGAGTAAAAATTCCCACGATGCACCCAGTGTCGAAAGGGTTGCCCGCCTCAGCCGACGTTTTGTCTGCGGTAACACTAGACGGCAGCGCGGCACATTGGGCCAGAAGACCGGTGGAGACGGCCGAAACTCCAGACGCGTTTTGCCCACCTCGACAGAGCCGTTTGTTGAACGTCCATCCTTAAACCTTAAACCGGCCTACTGGCCCACTGTGCGCGGCAGCGGCCAGAGCGGAGCGCCGTGAGGGTAGGCAACCCATTCGGCGGCGCTGTAAGGCGCGACCGCGAGCTGCCTACTTGCCGGGCGTTCTTGCTCCCAGACGGCGGGCTGCCAGTGCTGCCAGTGGTGCCCAAGCCTACCCACCAGGTTGTTGCAGCGGTAGCTGCAGTGCGGGCAGCAGAAGGGCTTGGCGCCCGTGTGCAGGCGGCGGTGCCTCAACAGGTGGGAGCCCACGCGCGTCGCGAAGTCGCAATGCTCGCACTTGTACGCCTTCTCGCCGGTGTGGATCTTCTCGTGCCTGCGAAGGGAGAGGGAGAATGCAGTCGGAGAGAGAGAGCGCGAGGGAAGACGCGCGACGGACACCGTAAAACGAAGAACAAGCGGCGGCGTTAGTTATGGAGACAGTCGACTGATTCCGAACGAGGCTCCCTCGCTCCGTCTCTCTCGCTCCCCAGCGGACCCAGTGGGACCTCGCCGTGGGTGCGAGAGAGACGGCGCGCCGACAGCAGTGCGGGAGCGGCCTGCGGGTTGGCCCATGCCTCGGCCGTGGCGCGTAATTAAAACTGCTGCTTATCATTCTGCCCTGATCGGAGTGCTGCTCGCTGCAGACTGCAGGCCGAGTGCAGCGCATGCAGCGCCACTCCGAGAGTCGTCCTGTCTCGCCCGCACCTGTCCGGGACCGCCCACGAGAGCGAGAGAGGCAGAACGACTCTCGGAATCAGTCGACCTGCAGGATTCCAGTTTGAGAGCTGGCGGCGTTTTTTCGCGCCAAAACTCGTCCCGTCGTCGACCTCTTTGTGTACCTCTTGAGGAGCTGCTTGGTGCGGGCGCGGAAGGGGCAGGCGGTGCACTGGAAGGCGGGCTGCCCCGCGGCCTGCGCGTGGGTGGCGAGGTGCGAGCGCAGCTCCGCGGCGGACCGCGCCCGGACCGCGCAGCCGGGCCAGGAGCACGCCAGCGGCTTGACGCCGTGCAGGGACACCTGGTGCTGGCGCAGCGTCGCCCTGCAACAACAACAGCAACATGATGCAGACGGGACCTGCAGCAACAACAACATGATGCAGGCGGGGCTCGGCGCGCAGCGACAACGGCATCGGGTCACTGGGTCAAGGGCGGAGAGGACCGCGTCGCAGCGTCGCAGCCGCGGCCACTCGAAGCAGGGGCGTAGGCTGTAAGCGCTGTAAGCGAGCCGCCGTATTTTGGCACGGCGACATGACGGGGCTCTTGCGGGCGGGGGCGGGGGGAAGGAGTGGAGGGGGTTATTTAAAACAACCGCGTGTTTAATCTCGCTGGCGCGACGCGCGCCGCGCTGCAGCAGAGCGATTCCGCAACACAGTCTCTCTCACACCCACGGCACGCCCCGTGAGGGCGAGAGAGACAGAGGCTGCAGAAACGGAAGCCCCGCCGAAGTCTGGCGGTGTCCAGCAGCCGCCGCCCCCCGCCATGCCCGGCCACGCCACACACGGACGCCCCCCGCCCCCTCCCCCTCCCCCTTCCTCGAGGACTGCTGCTCACCGCAAACCTGCCACCGGTGTATTTACTGATGAGGCGACGTGTCGGCCACCGCGCTAACTGCGGCCAGCCGGCGCGTATTTCGCGGGTTTCTCTCAGGTGGGCGGGGGCTCCCAGGCAGGCGGATCCAAACAGGACTCTCTGTCTCTCTCGCACTCCAGCGGCGCGCCGTGCGAGTGCGAGAGAGACGGAGCGAGGTGCCGGCGTTAATTAAGCGACGACGCCCGAATCCAATTTTTGCGGATCCGCGCTCCGCGCCCCGATCCCGTTCGTCCAGTACGTGTCATCGTCTCGGTGCGGGCGAGGCCTCCCGCTCTGTCTCTCTCGCACCGACGGGACGTCCCATGAGTGCGAGAGAGACAGCGACCAGGCCGGACGCGTGCATATTCATGCATTCGTGTCTTCGAACCGCGCCACTCGGCACAACCACGAAGCAAACCACCCTCTCTCTCGCACTCACAGAGCGGTCCGCAGGGGAGCGAGAGAGACAGTGCGGAATCACTTCAGTGGCGCTGGCGCGAGGCTATGAAAGCCACGACGGAGAGCCGCAAGCAGTTTCGTTAAGTCAGCGCGCCCTACGCCCTCCCTGGCTTGGCCCTCCCTCCCGCAAGCGCCTTTTTTGCCTTCCTCCTCACACCTGACGTACTGCTTGCACAAGACGCGATAATGGGGCGCCAGCTGGAGAGAGAGAGAGAGAGAGAGAGAGAGAGAGAGAGAGAGAGAGAGAGAGAGAGAGAGAGAAAGGGGCGGGCTGGCCAACGGCTCGCCCTGCCTCTCGCCACCGGCCTGCCCCTCCAGATAAGCATGCTGCTCACCCCTCCGCCCCGACCGCACTAGACAGGCACTGGGGATGAAAACTCCTAAATTTTAAGCGGAGGCCAACAAATTCTCGCGCGTTGTGGACTGTACTTGAGATCTGCGCGGCCGGGACGCGCGGGGGAACGGGCGGGGCGCGGGGCGGACGGCATACAAACACCCTCCCGCCCATGTGCCACCACTCGCGGCTTGCGACCACTACGCGCCTCTCTCTCTCTCTCTCTCTCTCTCTCTCTCTCTCTCTCTCTCTCTCTCTCTCTCTCTCTCTCTCTCCCACTCACGCACACACTGTGAGCCCCAAGACTGACTGACGCTGGTTATTTTGTTGGTTACCAACCCAAAACACACAACGCTTACACGAGAAAAGATAACAGCAGCCCAGCGGCCGCACGGTCACGGCAAGAAACAAGTTGCGCAAACTGAAAAAGAGGAGAAGGGTGAGGAAAGGGACTTACTTGTTGAAGAAGCACTTTCCGCACACGTCGCACAGGTGCTTCCGCTCGCGTTGGTCCGCGCCGCCACTGGTTGGCGTCCTCCTGGTGGGCCGCGCCGCCGTCGACGCCGTCACCGTCGGCGGCGTCCTCGCCGCGCCGTCGTCCACGATGGACGATATGGCGTCCTGGAGGCGCTGCTCCTCGCGCTGCAGGTGCTCGTCGTCCTCCAGGCCGCCGTCCCGGCCGTCCCGGTCGACGAGCACGTGCGCCGTCACTTCGTGCGTCACGCACGAGTCCTTGCGGCTGAAGCGGAGGGAAAGGTGATGAGTGGCGAGACAGGCGGGCGCGGCACGTCCGCGTCGGCCACGTCGGCGAGGTGCAAGTCGGCGACGTGACCCTCCGAGATTCGTAAATCGGCGGCAGGCGCGCCGCGCGCACTTAGAGCCCTCTATCTCAACGAGTTGAAAGGCGGCAGATTCCTCCTTGAGGATAAATCGCCGCCGATGCACAGTGGGCCAGAAGACCGGTGGAGCTGGTCGAAATCCCGGACGCGTTTTGAGCTCCAGAGGAGCTCCCTCGAACCGATCGTGTGACCCCACCAATGGATTGCTCTCCGAACGAGGAATCTATTGGTGGGATCACACGCTCGGTTCGGGTCACGTTAGCTCAAAACGCGTCAAGAATTTTGGCCTCCGCCGGTCTTCTGGCCCACTGAGCGATGCCGAAGCAGACGAAGCAGTGGGGAGGGATGCCTCACCTGAAGCCCTTGTCGCAGTGCCGGCAGCGGAAGGGCCGCTCCCCCGTGTGGACGTGGAGGTGGGTCCGCAGGGCGGGCTTGCGGTACAGTCGCCTGCAGAACGGGCAGCGGTACCGCGCGGCCGCGGGGTCCGGGGCGTCGCCGCCGCCGTCCTCGGCGACCTCTGCGAATCACAAATTACGGGTGTAGCGTCTGTCGCGGACGGCGACCTAGTGGTAGCAGCCGACAGCGTCGGCGTCCTTACCGTGGCCCGGCTGCGCGACGAGCTCGGGCGGCCCGTGCAGCACGCCGTGGAACACCAGCTCGGCCCTGGAGTCCGTCACGAACAAGCAGGTCCGGCAGCTGAAGGGGGGCTGCTCGCCCACGGCCGGCAGCAGCAGCGCGGCGCCCGTGGCGGCGTCGCCGCTCGGCGTGGCGGCCAGTGCGGCGGCGTGGACGTCGCGGTGGTGCCGAGACACCTCCTGCGGCAGCGTGAAGGCCAGGCCGCACAGCGCGCACCGGTGCTTCCTGTCGGGGTGCTTGTCGTCCAAGTGGAGCCGCAGCGCCGCGAGGCCGCGACACTGCTCGCGGCAGTGCGGGCACCGGCGGAGCGGCCGCCCCGACGCCGTGGCCCTGCCGGCCCTGCCCAGCCGGCGGTCCCGGACCGCGTCGCGGTGCGCTTGGCCCAGGCGGTGCTGAGCCGCCGAGGCCGCCGTCGGGAAGTTGAGAGAGCAGACGCCGCAGTAGTAGTTGCCCTCCGTCTGCAACCGAGTCGAATCCCAGTTTACCTTCACGTCAGTACATGACACGGAGAGCTTTCAGCCTGCCACCCACCTGGCTGGTGCACTTGAGCATGTGCTTCTGCAGCGCGAGGCGCGACCGACGCAGGGCGCCGCAGCCCTTGCACCGGTACCGGCACTGGTAGCGGTCGCCGGCCGTGGACGCGCAGGGCGTGGAGGACGACGGCAGCCCCGGCAGCGCCCCGGGACCGCGGTGCCCGGACTGCCTCTCGTGGCGGCCGAGCTGCGCGTTGTACCGGAACGCGGCGGGACACCTGCAACACGCATTTCCAAAAAAAATTATGCCACAGGGGCGTAAATGTTGTTTCTTTGTTTTGCCAGTGCACTCAACCTACCCCGCCGCCTTGCAGCGCAGCGCCGTCCTGCGGGACACGACCACGGCCACGCTCCTGTTGACGGCGGCCTCCACCTCGCGGTGCTCCTCCCCCCACAGGTGGGCCTCCATGTCGAGCGACGACTCGGCGCCCACCTCGCACGGCGAGCACCAGTACTGGCCGTCCGCGGCGGCGGCCTGCTCGTCCTTGAGGCGGTGCGAGGCCGAGGCCCAGTGCTGGCGGAAGGCCTCGGACGAGTTGCAGTAGAACTTGCAGAGGCCGCACTGGAAGGGCGACTGGCGCACCACGGCCTCGATGTTGTCCAGGATGAGGGCGGCCGCCGCGGAGCCCACGGCCGTGCTGCGCGTGCTGCGCCAGTGGAAGTGCGACACGAGGTGCTTGCCCACCTGGTGGCGCTGCACGCGCGCGCGGCACACCGAGCACCGCTCCAGCCCCTGGCGGTGTCCTCGGCGGCGGCCCTGACGGCGTCCTGGCGTCGCCGGGGCCGCGGCGTCTCCGGCGCCGAGGCCGAAGCCCGGCCGCTCCGGACCGTCGCCTGGGCGCATGTCGCCTGGGCGGCCTGGGCGCATGTCGAGCTGGCGCTCCGGGAGGGTGCGTCGGGAGTGCAGCTCGGACTGCAGGTGGCGCTCGTACATCTTGCTGCTGGCCAGGCGCCGGTTGCAGGACCCGCACCAGTACTGGACCTGCGTGAACAGTGTGTAGGAGCACATACAGTTGCAGCATGCACTGGCACCCCTAATTTGACTTTGAACGTGAACCTTACCGTGCTGCCCGATTTGCGCACCGCGGCGGGCGCGGAGGGCTCGAGCAGGGCACGGACCTTGTTGGCCATGCCCGGCGCCCACTTGCCCCGGGTGTGGCCGGGCGGGGGGAAGTCCTGCTCGTCGCAGTGCTCGTCCTCGCCGGGCTCGGCGCGCGGCGTCCACTTGCCCCCCGTGTGCGTGGGCGGCGGCCCCCACTTGCCGCCCGCGTTCGGCGGCGGCGGCGCCGCGTCGGTCAGGAGCACCTCCTTGTCGTCGTCGGGGACGTCGCTCGGCGTCTGCGGCGTCCACTTGCCGCCCGTGTGGGTCCGCGGCGGGCCCCATTTGCCGCCAGCGTCCGGCGGCGGCGTCGTCGAGAGCACCTCGTCGTCGAGGCGCGGCGTCTGCGGCCGCCACTTGCCGCCCGTGTGCGTCCGCGGCGGGAACCGCCAGCCGTCGGCGTCCTCCTCGGCCTCGCCGTCGTCGTCCTGGCGGCGCGCCTTGCGCCCGCGCGGTGACCTCTCCAGGACGGAGCGCCGCGACCCTCGGCCGGAGCTTTTGCTGCGGGTCAGCATGCCGCTGGGCTTGGTGGCGGGGACGACGGCGGCCGTGGGGGCCAGTGGCGGCGGCGGCGGTTCCACGTCGCGCACGGCGGTCGTCTTGGCGCTGCTCCGCAGCTCCAGCTGCGAGAAGAAGTCGTCCGCCTTCAGGGCGTGGTCGTCGTCGCGGTGCTCGGCCGCCGGCGGGGCCGCCTTGGCGGTGAGGGGCGCGCAGGCCGTCTGGCGGTGCTGCACGTACTCGTCGAGGCCCTCGATGGTGCGGCGGCAGCGCAGGCAGAAGTGCGTGTCCTGCTCCTCGCCGTCCTGGCCGTCGTGAGCGAGCTGCGGCGGCGACAGCGCCATCCTAGAGGCAGATCAGAACGCATGAAATCCGGGGGTTCAAATCCAGCTATTTTTATTTCCTCCGAAACGCCGAAAAACAAGCGCGAGAAACGGTCGAAATCGCGAACGCGCGGCCGCGGTGGCCGTCGGGAGGCCAGGCGGGGTAGCCGGCTGCCCGGGGTCGCCGGGCGAACCGGTTCCGCGCACCGAGCGCGCCAGACGAAAAATCAAAGATAACGATTCACTTCTAATCAGGAGCCCGCCAAGGGAAATGGACGGTATCTGGAAAACGCGACGAGACGCGGCGACGCGGCGCGGTGGCGGCAGCAGCGCGCGTAAACCTCGAGATGCGCGGGGCGGCCAGGGCGTCGGCGGCGGGGCCCGCGATCTACGGCGCGCCGGCCTGGCCGCGGGGGGAAGGGGAGGGGGGTTATTAACGGCCGGGGGTCACGCGATCCACAGAATGCCGCCGATGCACTCATTAACATGGGCGTCATAAATACCGCCCTCTCTGGGGCGCTCCGCACCGCTCCGCACCGCGCCGCTCCGCGCTCCGCAGACCGATTCCGAGAGTCGCTTTCGTCGCGCTGCCTCAGTCGCACCTACAGGGGACGCCCCGCGAGTGCGGGAAAGACAGGACGACCAAATCGACTCTCGGAATCGGTCTGCTGCACCGCTCTGCATCGCGCCGGGCGGCGCGGCTGCCGTTCGCCCAACACCTCGCCAGAGACCGCCACGCAGGTACGCAGTGGGCCAGAAGACCGGTGGAGGCGGCCAAAACTCTGGACGTGTTTTGAGCTCCAGAGTCGCTGAATAGGACTCGAGTCGAACGAGTGACCCCACCAATGGACTGCTCTCCGAACGAGCAATCTATTGCGTTCGGTTTGAGGCCTGTTTAGCGACTCTGGAGCTCAAAACGCAACTAGAGTTTTGGCCGCCTCCTCCGGTCTTCTGGCCCGTGCGCCAGGCAGCCAGGACCACTTAGGAATCCGCGGACCTCGCCTCGCGCGCGACCGCCATGTCGTTTCGGCCGCCCGCGTAAGTGCTCGCGCCGCGGACATTACTATCGCACCTGTCGCCGTCGATAGACGGCCGGACAAGCAGAGAGACAGACAGGCAGGCAGACAGACAGACAGACATGCAGACAAGGGGAAGGCACGTAATGGAATCAAAGGGGCAGCAGTCTGAACCCGAGCACTTGCCTCGTCGGTCTCTCTCTCTCGTTCTCCGCCCCGCGGATCGCCCCACGGGTGCGAGAGAGACAGAGCGAAGGGGCGCGGCGGTCGTACCGCGGACAGCCAGCAACTCTCCCGGCGGACAGGTCGGCTCGCCTCGACGGCGTGCTTCACGGCCTTCGCGCTTCGGCCGGCAGCCGCTCGTCGCTCTGTCTCTCTCGCACTCACGGCGCGGCCGGCCGAGAGGGCCGAGGTGCGAGAGAGACAGAGCGCCGGGCTGCGCCTCCCGCCGCATAAAGTTCTGCTGATAAACTAATGGACCGTGTAAGGTGTCGCGAACAGCGTGTACAGTGTACGGCCGGCGTCGCCACGGCGTCGCGGTGACGAGCCCGATTGGGGAGGCTGCGGTCGCGCTGTCTCTCTCGCACTCGCGGGGCGTCGCCATGGCGTCGCGCAGGGGTGCGAGAGAGACAGAGCGAGCGGAATATCGAACTGCAAGTCGCGAGGAAAGCGGCAGAAAATGTCGACCGGCCGCACCGTAAACTGAGGCCGTCGCACTCTGTGGCACTCGCAATGGCCGAGTGATGTTCTACGGACTCTTGTCGCGGGGCCGCGCGCTGAGTGGCACTGTCGGCCGCACACCCTGCAGACTGATTCCGGGCTCTGTCTCTCTCACACTCGTGTGGCATCCGTGTGGGTGCGAGAGAGACAGAGCGACGACTGCGCAGATCAACGAGATGGCCCTGCAAAGGGAAGTCGGCAGGGGGACTCTCGAATCACGCCTCGCGTTGTGATCGGCGGGTTCTGCCGCTCGCCACAAGTTGCCTTTGTGAAAAATAAAAAAAATTACAAAAAGACCAAGGGACAGGCAGTGATGCTACCCGTGCATTAAAAGCCCCCTCCCCTCCCCCTCCCCCGCGCCTCCCGGGTGGTCTTGCGTCTTGCTCGGCGTCGTCGCCATGCCGCGCCAAATTCACTCATCTGCGTCCGCGGCGTGTTTTCGTTGTTCGCGAGGCAGGGCGTGGCACGGCGTGGCACGGCACGGCGAGCAGCCGAGCGATTCAGAAGATCGGTCCGTCTCTCTCGCACCCTCACGGAGAGCCCCACGAGTGCGACAGAGACAGAGCGACGAGCAGGGCTCCGCCCGCGGTAATTAAGACGTAAACGCAGCGGAGGCCGTGGAGGCCGTCACGCACGCGTGTCTCGTGCGTGACGCAGCGGAGAAGCGCGCAAAGGCATGTCAAAGGGGCGGGACGCGCTCCCCGCCACGAGTATTGATGACTAAATTTCCGAGTTTCAAGCAATCCATTGGTGGGGTCACACGTTCGGTTCAAGTCCCATTTAGCGACTCTGCAGCTCAAAACGCGTACAGAGTTTTGGCCGCCTCCACCGGGCTTCTGGCCCACTATGTGCGTCGCAGCATTCAATAACACGTTGCGGACCGCCGCCGCCGTGGCCGCAGGACATTGTCTTACGGTGGCGCGTCCCGCAGAGCGATCAGTCTCCAATAATGAAAGGGGATCTGCGGCGCATTGCCGGCAGGGCGTCACACACCGTCCTGGCTTGTTATTGGAATTGGCCGTCCGATAGGTCCGATGCGTCTTGTGTGACGCGCGGCGATCAGTCGCCGTGCAGACTGATTCCGAGGGTCGTTTTCGCCGCTCTGTCTCCCTCGCACCCACACGGGACGCCCCATGAGTGCGAGAGAGACAGAGCGAGACTCTCGGAATGGGTCTGCTGGAGGCCCGCTGCCCGGAGGCCTCCACGGAGGCGCCGCGGACGGAGGCTAAGCCGCGGCCGGAGCGGGGATTAGTGACAATGGCAACAGATTTGACACCCCCGCCGTCGTCTGCTCGGCCCGGCTCGGCCACTCCAGCCGACGACACGGGATTATCGCCGAATTACGACCGGATTTCGCAGTGTCCTCGTCTCGGCCAGCATCACTTGACCAGCATTTCGTTGCAGCCGCCCGATAGACCATTCTAGTCGTGACTGAGTGAAGAACAAGAAGAATCACAAAAGACTCCATTTGGGGCATTTAAAGTGCGTATATTAGCTCAAAATATGTTGCATTTACTAGAAAATATTTTCATGTACTTCTACCATAAGCAAGCGCTCTCTCTCTCTCTCTCTCTCTCTCTCTCTCTCTCTCTCTCTCTCTCTCTCTCTCTCTCTCTCTCTCTCTCTCTCTCCCTCTCATCTCGTTCGTTATCTGCGTCCCTGATTTCGGACTGACTCATCCCGGCGTCCCGGCGGCGCCACGCACCGCGGCACTGCACTGCACGTGCCGGTGCACTGTTTAAATTTTATTTATGTTTTCATTCATTACGCGCGTCCATTAATCCCATCCTACGCACAGTACAATGCCGGTGTCAAATAATGAAAGAGGAGCCCGAAAAAAAAGAAGTATAAATAATATGAAAAACGGTCAAATGGCAGCAGAGGGCCGGGCCGTTATGCGTGTACGCATTTCCCCTCAAAATTCAAAACCCTGGGCGATGAGGAACGGGGCTGCCAGCCCTGGCTGGCCGCCTGGCCGGCCGGGCGGGGCTGGCGCCCAGGGCTGGCGGGCGGGGCTGGCGGGCGGGGCTGGCGCCGTACGCATCGCGAGGGCTGAGTCGCACCCTTCCGAATAATTATTGGCGCAAACAAAGCCTCACGCATAAAAGTGCGTGGCGCAGGGAAGTGGCCGGGCCGGCCGGTTCGCTCTGTCTCTCTCGCACCCTCATGTAGAGCCCCGTGGGTGCGAGAGAGACAGAGCGACGGTCTCGGAATCAGTCCGCCGCGGCGGGCCGGCTGCTGCGCGCATAAATAGCACCGGTCAGTCCCGGCCGGCCGGCCGAGCCGTGGCGGAGCCGCGTGGCGCTGTGCGTGGGGGGAGGGGGGGGGGGGTTGCCGCCGTTGCCGCAGACGACACTTTATCAGGAGGGCGTAGGGCGCGGCCAGGCGCGGCCCGCAGCCTCCCAGGACCAATGGACGGCCACGGAGCACGCACGCACACACACTTGCACACACGCACGCCAGTTTGCACACACACACACACACACACACACACACACACACACGCGCGTCCATTCATTCCCTTTGCAGGCCCGCCTTGTCGGAAAAACGGTACAGGGGCGTTCCAGAGAGTTGAACGTTCCATTTTCAGTCATTGGCGTGATGGGCCTTGAAGGGCGCCCCCCGTTTTACGCGTCAAGGAGGTGAAGGGGCGAGTGCCATAGAGCCCCACGCATGCGGAGCCATAAAATGATTTTTTTTCCTTCCCGTTTTCGTCTCTTTTTATGTAACATTACTCGGCTCCGCGATGCTACGCGCGTCGACGTATTTTCCCCCGTTTTATTTGTTTTTCGCAATTTGGTGACCGGGCGCGGCGCGGGTCGGATGCGTCCCGCGGGACAGGCTGCGCACCGCGGAGACCGCGCGACGGACAGTGGGCCAGAAGACCGGCGGAGGCGACCATAACTCTAGATGCGCTTTGAGCTCCAGAGTCGCCAAACAGGCCTCGAACCGAACGTGTGACCCCACCAATGGATTCCTCGTTCGGAAAGCAATCCACTGGTGGGGTCACACGCTTGGTTCGAGTCCCATTTAGCGACTGTGGAGCTCAAAACGCGTCTAGAGTTTTGGCCGCCCCCGCCGGTCTTCTGGCCCACTGTGCGACGGACGGACCGAGCGGTTTCCGAAGGCTCGTTTCGTCTCTCGCTCTGTCTCTCTCGGATCTCTAAGGAGCGCCCCACGAGTGCGACAGAGACGGAGAGACGACAACGACGACTCTTCGGAACCGCGGATCGCGAAGTCCCCCGA